AAAAAAAAAAAAAAAAAAAAAAAAAAAAAAAAAAAAAAAAAGAAACGAAGAAACATTACACAAAGTCATCGAAAGCGAAAATCGTTTTCACGAGGTTCGCAACACGCGTTTTACGTACATTGGAGAAATAAGAAAAATTGTTGCCCGAGGATGGAAACTTAGCGACAGCTGATAACAAAAAAAAAACGGTTCGTTTCAAGAAGGCGAGACAAACGGCCTCGAACGTATGTCTGCCAGGAATACCTAATAACCGACAATTAACGTGCGCAACACTCACCAGCCCTAGACTGGCAAGAGGCCAATGCCGACTGTGCTATCGCGATGCTGACTCTTACACGACCATCCTGAAACCATCCAATCTACTCGATGGACCTTGGATAAGATTTTTTCTCGTGAAAAAATGAAATTTCCAAAATAATTACGTTTCCATGTAAATCGAACTACTAAACTGCTATCATTACCAATGACGTACCCCGTTCCCTCTTTGTAAATTCTTCTGGAGACCTATGCTATTCCCGCGATTTTTTTTATAAATATTGATTACGCACACACCGAATATAGGCTAATATTCAATCTACCTAATGGCGGACTCGGCCTCGATTTCGTCTCTCGCTCGCAATTACTCGCGAATCCCATCCTCGCAGTCATTACGCGACTTGCGCAAACCGATATATGGACATCTGGCATTTTCCATTTTTCTTTAATTCACCATTTCTCTTTTCCCCGTCCTCCCTTTCGTTTCCTAATCGCGATCGTCCCGTGTTCCACGTGGAATACACAGAATGGCGTTACGTTCTTATAGACATAGCATACACGTCATATACATATATACATACACCATGTATACCAGCAATTCCTCCCACAGAGACGTATAAGGTACTAATTATTCCCGTGAAATCTTTTTTATTTTTGCTTTTTCCTCTCCTCATTTCTTATCCCACCAGTGCTCTCCACTCTGGGAAAAATTCGTTTGTAATCATTCGAAGGCTGGAACTAATTCGATGGAAAGTCAAAGATTGCGCGATTTAACGGTTCGAAAGTTAGCGAGGTGTGTCTGGTTTACTGGACACGATAAAAAATGTTCCAACAGCCAATTCACTAACCTGATAAGTACGCCTCGAAGTTCAATATCCAACGATACATTCTCAGTATATACCCTATTCGCGATAGTTCACTTAAAAAGTATACTTACTTGATTGGTGCTATTAAAAAATGTATTTGATCAAATTCCTCCAAAAAATCTATGACATCCTAACTACTTTCATAACCCCTTGTTATCTGTAATTGCATGATCAAACCGTGAAGTAATCAATATCGTTATCCCATCGATTTATCGAAACTGCACTTCATTCTTATCTATGAACTTGACTTTGGTAAAGATTAAAAGTTTTTTAATATTTTCATCGATTTATCAAAATCCTTAACCAATCTTTTACATCTTGCGTAGAGAATTCAGTATTATAAAATTTGTTTCCTAAACATCGACAAACCTAATCGATCTAAAAAGCAACGTATGTAGCGGACACTATGAGTACATTCAAAGTACGTACGGTGAATTGTACATCCGAAGGCAGTAGGTACGCTTTCCATCAATGTACATATAGTAAGTCCATAACCACGTATACGTATGCAAACGCATACGTGGTATTCAATACAGGATGTTAGGGAGGGTCGCTTACGATTGGCAGACCCGTCGCACGTACGAACGAGACTTAAAGACCTTAAGTTGCACTGTATCAACGACATGGTCAATGATTGCTCGGATGAACCAGTCTTGTTATCGGTGTATACGTGCTCGTCCTAACGAAAAGAGTGTCCAATTTTGACACAAGGTATAATTTGCCCTAGTAAATAAACAATAATAATAATCAATGTAATTCTTTCCCAGAACCACAGACAGATTTAATGGGCCAGACAGAGACATATACCCTGTGTCTTAATTCATTCTAATTCACAAAAGGGAAACGACCCACGTGATAATTTCTAAATCAAACACGTGAGGCCAACGCGTACAGCAGCATGCGACTGCAGAGCAGTAGTAAAGATTACATATATGTATAAATATATATAAATGGGAAAAGATGCATTCTAGGAAAATAAAAACTTTAACCAGACCTAACCTAACCATATAATTTATTCGAATAAAAGACGTGGGAAGGAGATACAAGTAACGGATAAGAATCTCGAATTAAGGGAGAAGCAGGAAAATCTCACAGGGTAAACCAAGGGTACACGACGGTATTCAAGGTGCAAAATGGTGGATCGTGAATCGATACGAGTCGAACCGGTTTTATATTTTCACGGGAGGCACAATTTTTTTCGAGTCTCCCATATTTAACGCAAACGCGCGCGCGCGTACGTAAACTTCGACTGGATGTTCCATGCGGTTTTTTCTTTTCTACAGAAAACCACGATTTTCCTTTAGCTGTACACGTATTCGTCCTCATGCACCGCGCTGCAGCCTCGCCTATCCATTGCAGCACCGAATCACGCCTAGACGGACACTGATCAATTTTACGTCTCGCTCGAGTCGTCGTTCATTATCAGTTTGATTAAATACACTTTGTTGCGTATCGCCGTCGACTAATTTTCACAATATATATTCGCGAATACGTAATGCAAGTTCGTTGCAGTAAAAACGCGGTACTATCGTGCAGGCATACGTGATTATTTAGGTGTGTAAACAAAAAGGGAAAGATAAAGGAATATCGCACGAATACGGATATCGATGAGGAAACTAAACAATGCGACGGACATATGAGCCGTTCAGTACACACATCGATTAACTGCATAAAACAAAAAGTTGAGAAATGCGATGAAGTAATGTATATTGTAATTACTTATTATTCAATGGCCAAAAAAATTTTGCCGTTCAATGGTGCTAATCTTTATTATTCAGGAAAGTTATTATAAATATAAAAAGTTACGACTATACCAAGTGCTTTGACACTTAAATTTAAGATTTTTCAAAAAGTGGAGTTAATCGATGTGTGCACTGAGCGGCTCGTATATAAATATACCTGACATATATGTATATAGTAAATAAACATATGCCAATTCGCATGCCAGTCTCGATTTTGTGCACCGTACGCGTCTGGCTGCGATTTTCCTTACGTATACAATACGAGACACATGTCTCTTTCTCTGAGCATACACACATATGTGTGATATGGGTAAACATACCGGCGACATATATCCGCGGTTATCATCTTTGCGATATTTCGGGATAAATTATTATTTGACCATTCGCGTAGGTGTACGACACGTGTAAAGCGGAGATAAAAAGACTCGAGTGACAGATGACTCGATGATAAATACTTTTTGGTGCGAATCACATAAGAGTGACGTAGGAGCGATTTTTTCTCGTGGCAAAAATCTGGTATAGTCACTGTATAAAATTCGGTGATATCCTGAAAGTAACTGGACCATCGTGCGGTATAATAAATTCACAGGTTCCGGCAGTATCTCGCTTTACGATAGGTCCAGCTGGCAGTTGGCTCCGTAAGATCAATAAAGTCTCGAACGTCGGTCAGCCCCGTTCAATGTTTTAATGAGAAAATGTAAAAAGGAGAAAAGTTTTTACGTGCCTAGTGAGTGTATGTTCACAAGCCAATCGGGCCAATACGGGCGACTTTTTATCATTTTGCGAACGCGAAGATTCACGATTCGAAAAGGAATTCCGTGTTTCGTGCGCCCACGCGACATTCTCGCGCTAGCGTACGAAAACCAAAATGGATAGTGAGTACGGCATGGGAGGCAATAAGTAATGGAGGAATAAATTGACAGATTTATAGGTTAGGGAATGAAGACCATGGGAACTATACGAAATTCTCTGTCACGTGGATTGATTGGTTTGACTTGAGGTGCAACGAAGACAAGCAATTTTTTTAATATTCTAAATTTGAGTATTGGGTTAGAAAGCATCCTCATTATTATTAAATTATGAATATTAGAAAAAAGTGAAAAATATGACAAGTGAAAATTCACAGTCAGGCTTTTTGTTTTTTTCCATAGCAAGTGATAGAACGCCTGCTATTCTATTTGGCGCGAGAGTGCAACGATATTACTAACTCCTAAATGCAATTGCCAGTATATATGGTGTACGCGTATAAACGGGGTCGTTGACCCTCACAGTGGCGTAAGTGTGGGCCACTTAAAGGGGGATGCGGACTAAAGTGGATTCTTTAATGTGCAGCATTCAACACTTAGAAAGACAGAAAATTACTTGGCAGTCTCTCTCTTTCTCTGTATTTATTTATGTATCTATCTCTCTTGCTCCTGCATTCCTTTTTTCTTTTTATTTTTCAACACGTAGCGCACGCACTCTCGCAACTGACCAACTCGGAGTGCATTCTTTGGAATACAATTTGATTATTGTAATATTGCTTATTGTTAATTTATTTATTCGTCTTTGGATCTTCTTCGAAACATTCTTTTCTTCGTTATACTTGGCGAATGGATACGGTACCAGAGGATCGGCGCAATATCGGTCATCGATATTCTTGGATAGTCCGTGTGTGCAATATATAATTGCAGATGGGTGCAACTGCAGAGTGCATCTGGAAGTATATGCGCGACTCCAGAAACCCTCATAATATCATGCACCCGTCGTAAAGCAACGCCGTTAAATTTACGAACTGGATTTTAACGACAGAACAAGAATCGAATTAGTTCAGAGCACAAAAGCGCGTATCTTCGAGCTAAATCAATTTTCTCATGTAAATAAGTCTTGGTACGATGGATATCCGAGACGCGCGATGATTGATGGGATTTTCGAATAAAAAGCCAAGATCGGTAAGAAGCAAGAAAGAAGATACAATTTTTTTTTAAATAGACCAGTAAAACTATACGAAATCAAATCGGTAGACGGTCACTCGCGAGAGCGATGCATCGCGACTTGGTTTAAAAAATGTAGGTTACAAAATTAAAAACGCTCTCTTCAGTCACTTTTTGTTCTCTTCGTCGATTCAAAATTGCCTCATCGCAACTTCAAGCGCTTCGACTTAATTTTAACCTGGACTTCGTGTAGGATGCTTTGACTTGTTGAACGACGCAAGGCCAAAGCTGCCATTGGAAGTTTAACAGTGACAGATTATATTTAAATTAATGATTCTAACCTGGGAGCATTGATGATCGGTCTGCCCATTGCCCGTTGCTGGCGCTTCTCGTTGCTGGGAAGGCGCAGATAATCTTGGTCGCCAAGGAGGAATAAATCCTTTGAAATAATCATGTCCACCGTGTATATAAAAGCTGCCTCCTGCACTGCCCTTGATTTTTCCTTTGTGTTATCCTTTATCCCCCCACCACCACGATATCACACGGAACCACTCCTTATCAGAATGATTAATCTCGTAAAACTATCACACAACAGTCATCCAGACGAGTTTCCTCGTTTGAATAAATCCTCACGAGTAAAATCCAAGAGGAAAGTAAATGCCGAAAAACGTACAATCAGTGTCATGAAAATGTTTAAATATACCGTGAAACAAGATATACCTTGGTATACAATAAAATTTTTCAGCGTTTTTCACAAACGCACAACTACGCGGCACAAACGCGCACAACCACCATATAACAATCGTATATCACCCGAAGCAAATATTCTGATAGCAGACAACACTGGCAGGTTTTTGATAACGAGTAATCGTCCCTTTACTTTTCCTCGTATCACCCAGTCGATAGTGCCAAAATTTTGTCTATGTGAATTTTCTAAAGTATTAACCTCCCTCGTACCACCCACCACCCTCCTAACCTCCTCCCAGCCACCCTAGACACTCGGTATCACACGAGGGCACAAACGGACAAGGAGCAAGCATTTATTTGCTTCGAGAACGGGAATGTGTGTGACCCTAAGAGGAACAACAAAAGTTCGTCGGTGCAGCCCAAGGTGAAACGGACGGACGCGCCTGTTTGACTCCGTTGCACGGCATCGTTTTTCGATATCCTCTTGGCCTTTTTTTATTTTACGTAAAATTGTTGTTGCTTGCTGTTGTCGGAGATCAATGACGATGCATTCGAACTCTCGCGGCTTATTTTAGCTCTTTGAGTAATTCACGATATGTTTATTATTTTCATTCTTACTTTACTACGCTGCTCTGGCTCGTCGAGCTCGCTGGGTATATTAAACGATATTTAACCAGCGAGTATCGAGCGAGTACGCTGCATCTGTTACACGCGCTATTCACATTATGAGCTCGATCCCACTGTTGAATATGACGATAACGACCGGCGATGACAATTACAAGAACAGTCAATGGAATCACCTGAATTTAATGCAACCTTCTCTTGACTGACCAACGTACAAGTAGACTCAGCCAATGGCAATCCTGGCAATAGGTGCTACGTAGTAGAGAAGCCTGCTAGTAGTGTTAACAGGACATAATGCGGCATCTACGGCTGGTATGGTTTAGCTAGTAGTTTCCGAGTGTGTTTAGGCGGGCCTAGTAGTGAAGCCAGCCGTGCAGTCCGTCTTGGTTGAACGTAAGAAAAAAAAAAAAATCACACGAACGCACAACCCTCAGAACAAAACCTCAGGGTGGAAACGATAGGGAAGTAAAAAATACGTCTGTTCTCTCCTATCAAATTGTACGGCACTGAAATTAATTAATCCCGCATTATTTGTCCCTTCCGCTTTACGCCTAATCACCACTCTTATACCGTATACCACTTTTGCTCTCGATCGATCTTCCTGCACTTTCCTTAGCACTCATAGTAAGCGATCGAAACTCACGGTCTAAGAGTTTCTTGCATTATTTTATTTTTATTTTTTATTTTTTCAACATTTTCTTTCATCCCGCATTGTTTGCGATCCGCGCATTGACGTCTCGTTTTGCCGGATGATTCTCGTCCCTTTTATTCTTCTAACTTGTCCCTTATCTTCTCTTCGCTTTTATGGTGCATCGATGGGAGCCAGCCGATACCTGTTGTGTGCGTGTTAACCCCGTCTCTGTTCGTACTTCCTTCAAGTATTTGTCTTAATCTTTTTTTTTTACTTTTCTTCTTCCTTCTATTCACCTCCTTGCGCTATTCTTATTCTTTCCACTCGCTCTTATACTTTTCTTTACTTTCCGCGGACACGCAAAGCTACGTGACGGAAAGACGTTCGCACGTTTGCGAGATCCCTTCGCTCTGCCGAGTATTATAAAACGAGCGACTCATCGCTCCTGTGTATATACGGCCGTATAAGCTTATATGTAGGTATTCACGTCAATATATGTACACGTATAGATATATATATTTTTTATCTTTTTTTTTTTTAAGAAAGAAGACTGTGCTTGTCACGACACGACACTCGCGCTGGTCGTTTGCAGACTGAAACGCAGCGGCGCGCGCTGCGTCTATAGGCGAAACACCACACCACTGCTAACTTTATCCCCACTATTCTGACTCCCACCGTCACTCCTACGTGCAGCATTGCCTTACACTTTCTGAATTTTGACTATTTTTCTTCTATTTTTTCTGAAGAAAAAACAATTGAAAAAAAAAACTTTGACGCAACGCTGACACTTTTACAGTTTAAACTTTATACGTTTTATACATTTTTCTATGGTGGTTATGAGTGACAGCCGAATATAGGGTTACTGGATTACATGGGTTACTTGTGTACAAGTTGAATTACGGTAATGATCCAGACATTGTGTAAGTACTGTCCTATTCGAACTCTTACGATTACATAAGTCATAATTATGCATTAAAAATAATATTTCTGAGGGAGACTGTTGTGTAAATTTTTTCGAAGCTTTGATTTTCTAGTGAGCAATAAAACTAAAAAAGTCGAAAAAATTTTCAAAAGGTAAACGATAGAAATTGATCGAGGAGTAAGGCAGGAGTTAGGAAACTTGAATACTTTTTTAAAAAGATTTTCTGTTTTTAATATTATTAAAAAATTTTCAAATTAAAAAATATCAAATTTGATCTTATTTATTAAAAAAAAAATATATTGCTTACATACTTGTAAATCAACGAATCACCGAGAGGTTATGTACATATGTTCTGTCGAAAATGCCCTCATATAAGCTTAAAATAATATACACGAGTGACACGGAAGGATGGATCTGTCATCGAAATGTCATTTCTTAATTACTTAAAACATGGTAGATTATTTTTTTTTTAGATTTAATTTTCTGATTTTCGCTGTATATACGTATATAAAAACAACATTGAATCAACTTATATGCAATAAAGTATACGTACGACTGTTAAGATATTGCTTCATTTATTCACTGCAACTAGTGTATTATTTAATGAGTGCATTAACGATTGGTTAAGGTCGTTGACTCGATCTCGTAGTGTTTACGAGAAAACGAAGCGCGTACAGCCGAGGGAAAAGCAGTGAGAAAGGGACCTTAACCTATTTTCTTCGTTACGAGAAGCCAGTGCCATCTCTTTCTACGGTCCTAACACTTCCTCTACTCTATATACGGGTACACTCTTTCTTTCACCTTTTTATATTTCTTTGGAGGCCGACATCGAGAGATCGTAGGCGCGACTTGATGCACCGGAAATTTCCAGAAAGACATACCGTATAACCATACACAGACGAGTCATTTTGAAAATTCAAAGGAAAGTCAGAATTTCCGTCGCGTATCGCTTGTATCCTACATTTAAAAGAATATCCAGACTCTGCCCGTTTCTCTATAATAAATTCAACGTCTTCTTGACACTCGTAACAAAGACAATGGAATCTTCTGGAACCTTAAGAATGTCGAAATTTTGTATGTTTTGAAAATAATTTATAACTAAAGTAAAAACGAAAAATTTCCAGCAATATACTGAGTGTTTTTTTTAATTACACATTTTACGAATGATTAGAGTTATAAGATCCAGTATAATGGAATCGAAAGGAATAACTTTTTCAAAATATATCTAATAAATGTAATAGCCAGGTTACCGAAGGATTGATGACTATAAAGTAAAGCATTCAGAAAAAATGTAAAAAAAAAAAAATCCAAACCCAAAGAAATTCCTCTCCGTGAACGATCTCAACACCGACTATGCACCCGTTGCATGTACATACACAAGCCTATAAATACATACGTATACACGTACGAAGTAACACGCGCAGCCGAGTGCATAGCCGAGCAAGTGGAGATAAACGTGTCGGTGTTTCTTTCCTGTAGCTTTCACGTTGCATCTCTCATCGGCTCGGCTCGTGTCCCACATCGCTATCTCCATCATTCAATATGCAATATTTAACCGAACAGCCGCTTGTTCACTCCCATTAAAGGCACGATCTATCCTTAGAGAAAGCCATTTTCCCATAAGACGGCCATATTGCCGGAGGGACGAATGCAGATAAATATAAAATGTAAAAAGGAGCCTGCAAATCCAATGTAGTATAAACGAGTATTCTAATAAGGCATATCGCAATACGAATATACATAGAGACAGAAATTACGCGAACGAGACAAAACGAATTTAGAGAAAGAATTATCGTTAGACCCAACGTCATTTCTCAATCGCATTGCATTGTGGATGCAACAGATTCTTAGATCCGAGACTCTATTGAATATCGTGTCAATAGTGCATTCGACCATTCGACTGCACTTTTGCCTGCATTTCGTAATGCCACTGGCATCTCAAGATGTCCTAGGGACGTTCGCGTCACAAACAGTGACAAAGCCTAGGGTTTATTAAATAATTGCACCCCTTGAACTACTTTGTTGCACCAGTACGAAGAAGTGCCAGCTGGAACGGGATCACGGTACGGTTAAAGTGCCTAGCCCCTGTACTACCATGATCGAATAGGTTAGCTAATTCATATCGTGAAGGTGCGCGGATGACGAATCGAAAGATAAAAAAGTGAAAACAAAAGATTCAATATTAATAAAGATCTTCACCTTAAAAAACAAAAACTTCCTATTTGAATGCTAATCGTACAATAAAAATATGAATTAATAAAGATCTCAAAGAGCAGGTAAATAAAAGAATCCAAGAGCGACCGTAGTTACCATGTCAGAAACACCCGCCTTACGCAAATCCATGCTATATCTGTAAACACAAGGATATCGAGGATTACTGAGTGCTACCGTAAAGGACGAGCTAATAAACGTAAGCCTTGCAATGGCAATGAGAGACAGAGAGAGAGAGAGAGAGAGAGAGATAAGAGAGGTTAAAAAATTGTGAGATACAAAAGAGGAAAAGTTAGAAAAGTGCATAACGTTAATAACACAAAAAAAAAATTTTTAACCGAAAAAGTCGACAGAAATCTAGAAATTAAAAGAAGAGACAAGAGCTGAGAGACCGAGATCAAAATAAATAATGCAAAAAAAAATCTAAAAAAGAGCAGCCGGGTGTTTAGATTCTTTACAATCTCGTATTACCAGTTTCCGATCCTCCCGGGCACACAACTTCGTATCCATGTTGGTGCAGCAGCGAGGAGAAGGTAGGTGGGTCTTTGAACTTCAGTGAAAATGAGCGCATCTGTCGCTGCCGCTCCGATAGGAAATGGGAATCATTCTGAATGCAGTTCTTCTCTCTTAATTCTCTCCCCCCCCCCCCTCTCTTTCTCTCTCTCTCTCTCTCTCACGCACACTTTTCTCTTGCTACACCATCCAAGGTAACCTCTCCTTCAGGAGCTGGCGTCTAGTCCCACGTAGCCATTGACGCTATCGTCCTCCCGATGCACCAGCGCATACAGAATGCACTCCTGTTCTGTTCCTCTCGCATGATCGTTTCTCCTCTAGCATTCTTTCTCTCTCTCTCTCTCTCTCTCGTACTCTTTTTTTCCCCTTACCCCCTTTCTCTCTCTCCTTCTCCGTCTATGTTACTCCCTGCAGGAGTACATAGCGGCTCACTGTGCTGATTTCCAATGCTCCGCTCATCAGGTTTCTCCAACGTACCGTACAGAGAGTTTCAGTTTCAACTGACGTCACAAACTACGCGGGAAAAGTCCCTTTTTCTTCTTCCATCGCACAGACAAGAAAAGACAGCGGCATTCGTATCTTTGACAACCAATTGGCACTTATACGTTTCATGTCTCTGCTTGATGGTCAATTCTGTACTCCCTGGGAATTGCGTATGGCCTTTACAAGGTATCTCAGGTAACATGAGATAGGGAACAATGCAAGCGAGTATTCCAAGGTAGTGAAACCCATTGAGAATTATTTCATATTAAAAATCTTTATTTTTTTCTTATACAATATTTTCTTATCTTTCACATTATATCAGAACCATTGCTCGTATCGGCGACGTTTTTGCACGTTATTTTGCTTATGCATTAAAGAGAATGTAATACTTGGGGTTCGGATCGGCCTGCTATGTCGGGGGACCCCACTCGGGATGCACAACGGCTCACCGGAAATGCAATTATTGTATTCCTTCCCCCCCCCCCTCCCACCCTGTCTCTTTTCTCTCTCTTTCTTCCCTCAACCAGACTCTCTCGCTCTCTCGATCTCATTACCTGCCTTTTAGTACTCTTTCTGACCTCGCTCCTTTACATCTACTTACAACTACTCTTTACAGAGACCCCCCCCCCTCTTCCCCCTCTTTGCAGCCTTTCCGCTTTCTAGCAACGCGATGCATCGTGGTCGCGCTGCCAGAGAGGGTGCATTTCACTGCACTTCCTTCAGCACGGAAGAATCGGACTACGCAAAACATAGAGCCAATGGTACAAAGTCTAATGTTATGTGAAACACATTTCTTTGGGATGTCGATCCTTTAAAATTATTTCTACATCACTTTTCCTCTTACTCGCTAAACACTTTCGGTTTTACATTTTACGTTCGGATGTCATTGACACGTACAAGCAATCATGTGTATACGTATGCAGCATTTATGTATATCGTCTCGTACCACGACACCTTTTCCAGTACTCCGCAGGAAACATTATCGTATAATTGATAATTATGATTGATAGGTGCCTCGTTATGCCCAGTGCCTTTATGGTGGTCTAATGCTGAGTATGCTTGAACGTGCGTTACCGGTATATACATATACTACTACAACATAATATTATATGTATATGATTTGTATACTGTATTTACGTGCTATATGAATATACTGTAGTCTATGTGGTTATAGCTTATGGAATAGTTCACGGCTGTTCAACTTTTCTTTAAGAAGTCGCTATCGGGATGAACATACGAATGTATATATACCGACTACGTAACTTGTACTGTATAAGTTATACGGAACTTAATTAAAATATATACCCATGGTATAATTACTAATGGGTGTAATAATGAATAGAAAGGAACCAAACAAAAATTGCTACGGATAATTCATCTCGATGAGAACAAACGTTTGATTCTGAGTGTCAATGTTTTTAATGCAAGGGAGACGTTACTTCTGTGAGGCTGTTTCATTACTTCTTGCTTCGTTCTCTCCTTCATTGACTTTTGCTCTTCCGGCATAGTATGCATTTTTCTCGTTAATCGTAGAGGAAATAAGGAGAAATCGCTCGGGGTTAATGACTTCTTTATCCTTGTGCAAATAAGACGATTATACGTTACCGTTTACATGAAGAAATCGAACGGATCTGTTTGTACAGCGTGAACGAGAAAGATAAAAGTATTTGGCGCTGTATTAAATTTTTCAAACGATTCGTCAATGTTTATTTTGCATAATTTACAGGCGGTGGCTGTAAAAATATCTGTGGCTTCAATTTTTCTTTCGGTGCTCCTTCTTTGTCATAATGTCTGATAGAATATTGTTTTAAATAAATATTTAACGAATAACTAAACTAATTAGCCAGGCTACATTATTACGAGATTAATCAGAATTGTCGTTAGAAAAATTAAGACCGTATTTACCGCGACATTTCAATCCCATTTCTTCGTCCGCTTCCGTAATAAGCTCGATAATAGCGCTGGAAAAAATTTTAATCGTTTCCATACTTAACGTCGTATTTTGAATGAAATACCAAAATTTTTTAAGCGAATAACATTCTTTCTTAAATACAAGTCAATAATAGTCTATTACACTCACCTCAATACAGCTCCTTCTGAATGATCCCACCGTACCGTTCCTGGATGGGCAATCTTGTACTCTAGTAGAAAATCCAGTTTTTTACGTAATTTCTGTAAAAGAAATAAATCAATCCTTAAATTCAAACATATAAATAATATTAATTCAATTTCATCTATAATCAGTTATTTATACCTGAATAATATCAGCAGATCCTGGTTGACATTTAAATTTTAAAAAGTTCGATACAGTAATGACACAATACCCCTTCTCCTCGTCTGAAACAAATATATTGTATTAGCATTGTTAATTTAAGAAATATATATCTAATATGGTTAAAAATGTATTATTTACTTACTTATTGAGTTAATTGGTGCTGATAAAAGCAAAGCTATCGGACTGATGCACGTTGTATCATGCAAGAAAATGGCCGTGGAACGTTGCTTCGTGAAATAAGTCATGTAAGGACTAGGAAATGGTCCACCCTTATCATTAATGCTTGATGGATGCAATTTCACTGGTCCATCTTCCGGAGTCCAAATCTTGACGGAATGATTCCTTGCAGTTTTATGATGATGATGATGATGACCACTCGATTTCGTTCGAGCGATGTTTGGATAAAGACCGGCGCATACAATTGCCTTCACCAACGCTAAATTATTGGAGTTTCTATTGGACCTTTGATCATTCGGATCACCGCTATCAAGAAACTTCATTTCTGATAAGTGAAGTGCAAACTGACGCTTCATGTCGGATAACAATTTTAACGTGTTCCCCGACAGAAAATATTCTCTGCAGTAAGAATTGGAACCACGCCACTTTTGTCCCTGCTCAAAACGCCGCAATGCTTCGGCCAGAGCTACGTGATCGCTGTACTGATCTAAGCCAAGTTTTAGTTTTTTCTCTCGAGCCTCATCTTCCTTTCCCAAAGGACAATAAAATGCGTCCTTGAATGTTAAACTTGCTGCAATCGCAAACACGGGAGTAACACAAGAAAATAGGGCACCCCATATAATCATCTTGCCTGAAATATAAATAAAGTTGTATTAAATACAGTTGTTAAGGCTGACGAAAGTAGAGATGATTATATCACTTGTACCTGTTCGTGGATCCAAAGGTAATTGGGCCAAGTGATAACCTAATGGTGTCAAGTTTTCATCACTATCAAGAGCTTCTAACTTTCGGAGTAAATCCAAAGAGAGTTCGACAGCTTTAGGATCCGGAGGATCTATCACCCCTGCCAGAAAGGATTGTATCTTCCCTAATTGCAATATTTTTGCTTGGAGAATTACTTCTTCCAGTCTAGTTCGTAACATTTCTGGTAAAGGGTACTGATCGAAAGTCAGTTCTCTGGCTTTAGAGTAAAGATGATAGCATGTACCAGACTGTACTCTGTTATAATTCAATAATACAAATTTTCATTTTTTTTTCGTATTAGATAAAAACTTATTTTATAAAACGAATAATTACCTTCCAGCTCGACCCTTTCTTTGTTTTGCATTAGCCAAAGAAACCCATTCCGGCTCTAGGGTAAGAATATTATTTTCCAGATCGAAGTTCGTTAATTTCATTTTTCCACAGTCAATGACGTAAACCACGTCTTCAATTGTAATCGATGTTTCCGCAATAGATGTAGCGATAATAATTTTTCGTACACCCGATGGGGGTTTTTGAAAGATAATTTTTTGGTCTACAGTAGGCATTCTTGAATGTAATGGATAAATAATATAATTTCCTAAATAAAAGAGAAAGAATATATATATGGTTAATTCTACCTTCATGGAATTTATAATAAATTATCTTTATTAGAAAATTCATACCAGGTGGATATTTTCCACTAGTCACCATTATTTTATGCAATTTTGATATATCCATTATTCCTGGTAAAAATATCAAAATTGCTCCTGGTGGTTTCGATGTACAAATGTGTTTTGTGAGAATCTCCACTAGATCTAACGAAAGTTCCTCGCTTCTTGGATTACGTAATTGTTTCAAAACGAAATCTGAATACTTTTTCTACAATTTCAACCACGTTCACAAATGTTAAAGTACAACAGAAAGAAGTAAAAATATCAATAAAAAACTAATGGTATTAAATACCTCAGATTCTAGATGTCTAACATATGGTTCAATAAAATCACAAAAATCATCAAATTTTTGCCGTTCTTTTTTGTGCTTTTTTATGTATTTCCTATAGCCAGTCAGAGCTGGCCCAATTTCAGGAAATTCAAATCTGTAAACGGTAATAAAATGATTATAAAATATTATGCATCATTTATTAGGGCATTAAATCTAATACTATATTAAATATTCTTGCCTGGTGATTTGCAAAACATCCTCCAAAAAGAATTCTTGAACTGGATAGGTAAACCCTGGTATATGTATGTTGGGACAATTATTATAATACTTAGAGAATTGATCTGAATTCAAAGTAGCACTCATTAAAATAATTTTCAAGTCCGGTCTCTATTAAAAACAATGATCACCATTAAGAAATAGTTTAACCTGATCTATCCCACATCAAACTTACGTACTTTCGGAATTATTTGTTTCAGAAGAGTAATAATAAAATCGCTGTCGGTATTACGTTCATGAATTTCATCCAAAATAATATGTGAGTAATTTCGTAATGCTGGATCGCTTTGCATAAATTGTAACATTAAACCAGTAGTACAAAATAATATGCTTCCTGAGTCTCTAGCTGGAACTCTAAATAAATAAAAATAATCATTTACATCTTATCTTTTGTTACTTCACAATGACATCTCGTGTTATTTAACAGAAGTAAATAGTGTTGCATACTTTTCTAATCTTATTTGAAAACCAACTGAATTTCCTAGATTTTCTGCTCTTTCTGCAGCAACACGTTCAGCTACTGAAATTGCAGAAATTCTTCTTGGTTGTGTACAAATTATTTTTGTAATGCTTGCATTGCCCTTTTCAATTTCATCATCTAATATGAATTGGGCAATCTGTGTTGTTTTTCCGCAGCCTAGAAAAGAGATTACTTAATTCTACCTGAAATGTTTGAAGAATTTGACACTATAATATCTGTGATATCAATTTACCTGTCTCTCCACTAATAACAATCACTTGATTATCACGCACAAGGTCAAGAATTTCCTGTCTTTTTTGGAAAGAGGGTAACTTCTCTCGAAATTTAAGCATAGTTTTATATTCTGCTGATCTCTGTTTTATTTTGAACTCTTCTAAATATTCTTGATTTAAAGAGTTATTTCGTTCCAGTTTAGATTCCAATAACATGGACTTAGCTAAATTCTGTTGTATATTACCAGAAACAATTTCCAGAAACTTTCTCTTAAAATGAGAATCATTTATGTGAGTATACTTGTCTTTAAGGTCACCATTTTTTTCATTAGTGTAATTTGAATCCTCATTTTGCTTGGACCTTTCAATTCTTCGCAACATTAATCTAATGTCTTCCTCAGTGTTGGCATTTAAATTTATATCTAAATAGTCTCTGTGCGAATCACGATGTGAATTTTGTTTCTTTGCTTTGTCTCTATAGTAAAGTCCTATCTCTCTTCCTTTAAGTCCTGGTGGATGACCTCTCCCTTTTCCTCTACCTCTACCTTGAAATTCCTCATATCCAGAGTGTTCTCCAGTATTTCCTCCATAACCATCTCTATCTCTATGTTGTTCATAATTGGAATAACCTGAAAAAGAAGCATTTTGATAATTATAATACACAGTAAATAAGTATAAAAAGAGAATACTTAAATACGAGTGAAATCAAACAACAGTTTGTTTGTTAACTATTTATATAATACTACTATTAAATCATTTGTTTTCATGACAGCAACACATGCACTTTACAATTGGTTCACAACGTAACATTAAGAAAACAACATTGTTAAATATTAGTTAATGTTTTGTTGTTTATAACATTTACACTTGCAAAATGTATTGAAGATAAAATTTTATAATTCCCGTAATATGTAACAAAATATTATTCAAACCTGAACGACCACTTCGTGGATACGAACCCCGCCCATAAGGATGCGACATATTCTTAAATATTGATATTAATGATTTTTGAGACAATGTCATTACATGTTGCAATATTAATATAAACTACTTGAGATCATGTAAATTGTACCATGAGCCATGAGTGGCCATGAGGGATTGACAGCCCAATGCATATACTACGCTAATCAATATCAGACTCATCGGTATTCACACATGTTTTCTTGTATTAAATATAAACTATTTTTTAAATTTAATACTAAGTTAATTTTTTGTTTTCAAAATATATATTTAGAACTTATAGCTCTTCATTGAAGTAAAAAGTAATTTTAGATTTTAACATCACGGTTACCTACAAAATCGACAATCTGCCACCATCTTAATCCGCGTTCCTTTTTCCGGTTGTTTTGACGGACTCAAGATAATTGTACAGGATGGTAAGAACAGTAATCGTGTTAAATATAAATCATCTATGAGAAAAGTGACGATAGAAGTGCAGTCACGTATTGTTGAAGATCTATCCTATTAGATAATATAAATGTTTTTGTAAAAATTAATGAGAAATTTATATATCTGTCTGTCATGGTGTCGTGCTAGTGTTTTTGGTTATGTTTCTGATCTTGTTATTTTTTTTCAAGAAAAGACTAAATCAACGTAATTTTCGTATACTAAATGCGAGCAGACTTTGATATCAATAATATCTCTACGATAAAATAATCTAGAACGATCGGGATAAAATGAAAATAATACTCTGTTTGGAAAATTCGAAATAGTGAATTAGAGGTTATGTATATCTTCAAATATACAAGTTAATTCTTCTTTTCTGTGCTACATAGGCCAAGCGTACAAAAAAGGTTGGAATCACCGGGAAGTACGGTACCCGCTATGGTGCCTCCCTCAGGAAAATGGTGAAAAAGATGGAAATAACCCAACATAGTAAATACACCTGTACATTCTGTGGCAAAGTATGTATAAGATAATTAAAGTAAGTAGCATATTCTCTCTTATAAATAGTGATTAATCATAACTATTACATTATTACAGGATGCCATGAAACGCAGTGTTGTTGGTATTTGGTCTTGCAAGCGTTGCAAGAGGACAGTAGCAGGTGGTGCGTGGGTATATTCTACGACTGCAGCAGCATCCGTAAGATCAGCTGTCCGTCGTCTGCGTGAAGTTAAGGAGCAGTAAAAAAGTTCAATAAACATATTTCCCAACCAAAACAAAAAGGCTTTTTAATTACAAAATCTGAAGCCACCAGTTCTCCTTGTATTCATTGCCTAAAAATCCATCAAACACTAAAAAGTAGAATACAAATGTAGTATCTGATATTCAGAATTTGTATTATTATTAAAATAAAATACAACGTTGATTTCTATATCGACTAAAGGTATGAGATGCATTTAAAGTGCAGCACTGCAGCGCCGCTAGCGGACTATTTTATCAAATAGCTGAGTGTCATCCATTCAAAAGGCAAAAGAAGCAGGGATGAGCGGTCCAACGTGGGTGGTCTAGAAGCGCGCACAACGTGCGTGTGGTCCGGCAGTTTCATTCCGTACGGGATGTGGTGAGCTTAAATGACGAGAATGCGAGGGCCTTTGTTCGTAAGAAGCCACGCAGTATAGAACGGCCTTAGAATGCTGACAACTTAGTGTTTTCTAAAAATTTTGAGTGAAATAAATTTCCTTTGTAATATCCTGGGAGGATATATGACCGGCTTTCAAAAGGTAGCATTTTATTTGTCTTATTGTTTTCACACGTTACTTTGTTTCTTCATTTTTGCTGGAAAGACGCTACTGCAAAATTATTAAATCCTTGTAATACGCGTTACGATAAAATGGCTTTGATTTTCGACTTTCTTCGTTATTTATAATGTTTTTAAATAACACCAGGTAGACGGATATTAATTTTTGTTTTACTATTATCAATAGTATTTATAACTTTCTTTATTTTGGAGCATAATTCATTTCATATAACCTGTGATCAGTTAGAAACTATCTCTTCTACTAATTCTTATTTTGTATAGTTAGTGCCTTGTAAATGAGCATTTGAATTTCTCATTATAATACCAATTTTCAAAGAATCACTGTTTATAGTTATTCAAATAAGATACCTTTAAATACTTGTTTTCAGTTTTTGATTTTTATTTTTTATATAATTTTCAGATGTTTTATTTACTCTACTTACTTCTACTATTTTTTGGAGTACAAGCTGAGTTGGGTCATAGCTTTACAGCTAATACTAACAATGAGAAGGACATGGATTTAAGTCACCGTTCCAGGATAAAAGATTCCACTTACCTGTTAGCAGGATATCCTGTTGGAGAATTACCAGACCTTTTAGACTGTCGTAAGGAAGCCAACTGTATTGAAATGAAGAGTAAAACTTGTATGGGAACACAATTACCATATTCTACAACAACACTGGATCTTATTCCTGAACAAACAACTCAAGAAAAGATTGAAGTGAGGACATTCCGCAGTATATGGTTATTTTTATTCTAATGACACCTGATTTTATATTGTTCAATGACGTCATTTTTCTACATTTTTAGGAGAAATTAAATATATTACAAGGTCTGCGGCACATTCCAAAATGTTGGGCAGTTGTTCAACCATTTCTATGTTCGGTATTCATGCCCAAGTGCGTCAATGGTACAGTCGACTTGCCATCTCATAAAATGTGCAAGATGGTGTCGGGTCCATGTAGAATTCTATTTAATCAAACAATATGGCCAAGTTTTATTAACTGCGAGGATTCTGAAATATTTCCACGTCGCTGTAAAAACGATGTTAGAGAACTGAAATTTAATACAACTGGAAAATGTTTAAAACCTCTTGTTCCAACGGATAACGCACTATCAATTTTTGATGGTGTCGAAGGTTGTGGAACTCAATGCAGCGATCCATTATTTACACCAGATGAACAAAAACAGATTCATTCTTTTATCGCTTGGGCTGCCAGCATTTGTTTACTCTTCAACTTATTTACTGTGGTAAGTGAAAAACCTCACAAAGAGTATGTGCAATTTCTACAATATTGCAAAATTTCTAGGTAACGTTTCTAATAGACTGGAGGAGCGCAAACAAGTATCCTGCCCTTGTCATATTCTATATAAACAGCTGTTTTATGGTTTCCTGCATTGGATGGCTTGCACAGTTTAATCCAGGAAGTAGAGACATCATAGTTTGTCGTAAGGATGGTACGCTGAGAATGAGTGAGCCAAGGTATTTGCAATCTGTTGTGAATAAAATATATCTGTAATACTATTTTTACATCTTGCTAAAATGCATTTTATTTACAGTGGTGAGAATCTGTCCTGCGTAGTAGTTTTTGTATTGGTCTATTATTCCCTTATGGCTGCTATGGTGTGGTTTGTCATTTTAACATATGCCTGGCATATGAGCTTCCAAGCTCTAGGAAAAATTCAGGATAGGATTGACAAGAAAGGAGCTTATTTTCATCTGATAGCATGGTGTCTGCCATTGGTACTGACTGTAACCGTAATGGCAGTTGGTGAAATCGACGGTAACAGCGTTACCGGTATCTGTTTTGTGGGATACGCCAATCATACTGTGCGTGCCTGGTTCCTACTCGGACCAGTAATGGCAGTGTTATTAGTGGGAGGATACTTTCTTTCTCGAGGTAAATTAGAAATAAATACAATTTTACTCATACGTATATTATTCCTCTAATCGTAAATTTGTCTTTTTTCTCTTTTGAATGCTCGCATTACACAGGATGCTCAGATGTGAGTAGAAACTATCCTTAAAGACAATTTACTTCATATCTAACATTTTTGCTTTGTTTTCGGTTGTCGCTTTGTAATTTTATGCCTTTCAAATTCAAAATCAGTTATCGCGTTAAAATGTTCTTGCGACGAGACGTGGAAAAAGTTTCTCAGTGGCTCTGTTATCTGTTTCAGGACTCATTACGTTGATTCGACTGAAAATCAGCAGTCAAGAAATTATCTCGGAAAGGGCCAGTTCAAAAATACGTGAGACTATTGTGAGAATGGGACTGTTCTCGATATTTACATTCGTAGCTGTGATAGTCACGTTCTATTGTCACATATATGAATTTCAACATTCCTGGGAATGGAAGCAGAGTTTTCGAGATTACATGATGTAATACAAAAATCCCTACAATATTTGCATGCATTGTTGCGATTATAACTACTATTAATTTAGTCAATTGGTAATGACGCTACTGTAAAGAATTCAAATAAGTCAGATAAGTTTTTCTTATTATACGGTACCCTCTATTTGGTTTTCCATAGATGTTCTATCACTACGAAGTACACAGATGTATCCGAGTGCAAGATGAAATCGCGACCAAGTGTTGCAAAGCTGCAATTGCATTTACTCTCTCCGTTCTTCGCTGGCGTTCTGATGTCATCTTGGGTTTGGACAGGATCAACGATCGACACCTGGACCAGATTTCTTAGACGGTAAGACTATTTCAGTGCAACAGTTTACTACTTTAGAAGCCAATATTACCTCAGAATGTGATATTTCACAGCACATTCAATTGCGAGGCCGAGGAGCCGATCAAATTAAAGAAACACAAGGTGATCGCTCAAGCTTTTGCAAAGAGAAAAACATTCAACAACGCCGGACGTCTGTCAATAAGTTTTCATAACACACATGAAGATCCTGTGGGATTAAATTTCGACCTAAATTCAGTGGCATCACAAGACTTCAGTTCAACCTGGGCAGCAGCATTACCAAAACTGGTGACAAGAAGAGGAGCTTTAGTAGGTGGTACAACTGGTTCTGTATCAAGTAATAGAAGAAATTCCGTGGATTCCGAAATAAGTTTCAGTGTACGCCGTGTGTCCGTAGAATCGCGTAGAAATTCCTTGGACTCACAAATATCAGTACAGATCGCCGAATTAAAAACTACGAGAAAGGTTGCGTCGTCGACGTTACCCGGTAGCTCATCACGCGGTAGACGTAGTAAGCGTAGGAGGCGTGATTTTGGTAAATCACGATCTGGAAAAGTGGGACCCCTGTTTCGTAGAGGAAGCACTACATCACAGGAGAGTCAATTAGGTGCACAAATATTGTCAGCCTTAACAATAGGTGGTGCATCAAATATACCACCACTGCAAGTACCTAACATGAAAAGACGATCAGCGAATGCTGGTCTCGACGAAAGAACTCTAAACAGCAAGATCCTAGACGGTAGAAATGCCGGAATGCTGCTGCCATTTTTATTTCCTGGGCAACGTAGTGTAAGTGACGAAAATCTCAGCAGCGAGGAGAAGATTCATCGGGAGTTAAATCTCGATAAGGATGCTGACGTGGAGGCTGGCACTCGCGAGAAGGACGACCAGGAAAGCGATACCGAAGACAGTCAACCGGAAGAAGACACAAAGATGCTCGAACTCGAGGAATCGCATGAGCGTAGTAAAAGTAAAAGAAGCAATAAAAGTTCAAAGAGTTATGGCAATGACAATGGCCTCCGTAATCGAGAGGCTAGACGTAGTAAATACTTCCTGCAGGATGAGGCAGTCTTAAAACATCTTTTACAGGAAAAAAATGACGTCAAAATAAAGAATGACAGTACCGAAAAAGAGAACTATAGGAAACCTGCCATTGGTGACCTTGCATCGAGTCTGACCTCTTATTGTCCTGAACTTTCTCGAATTGCGCAAAATGAGAGTGGACAAATTAATGCACGGGAAATGGCAACGCAGACTTCGCTTCCTCTTGATATCCTAGAAATGGAAGAACTGAAACAAAGCATCGACGAAATAATAAACAGTCGAAATTGCAGTTCCAAGGGTACTCAAATATCGCCTCAGCTCAACAAATCTAACAATAATTAATAAAGGTCTATTTCATGACCAAACACACTTGTGTACACTATCGATAATTCAAATTCTGATTTTCATGATAATTTGTAAAGCAGTGTAATATCGGCCTTGAAGATAATAGAAACAAAATGAGGATTTGCATTATCAACAGTGCCCGCGAATATGTTTTGTCATGAAATATAAGTTTATTAACTATTCTTATACTTATTGGGCTGGGAGTAGAATATTCACATGTCGAAACGCCGGAAATATATCCCATATGCTTTACTTGCAGTCAAGAAGCTCTTGCTATCTGCGGGAAAGCTTATGAACTGTACGAAGCTTCCGATAGAAATAGCACCAGCGATAAATATCGAGCGAGTACAAGGATCCTTAACGTTTGATAAATTTCTATGATTTAGACTGTAGTACATTATTTTAAGTATGTATACTGTACATACATCGCCATTAAAATTATCATTCTATTAAAACATTCAGTTTCAGATAGGTGTTGCGATATGGTGAATATATATATGACAATTCATCAATGAAATATTGTTATTCGTTGTATTTGTAAAGATGTGTATCATGCATTTATATTTTTTACATTCACATATCCCATGATCTCTATGGCATTGGACGTGGAACTCTAAATGACTTCCATTTACGTATTTAAGCAATGACAGAACAATATTTTCATTCATAGAAATATACGGAAATACTCCATTTTTATAAATGAAAGAAAAGCAAAATATAGTACATTATCTGAATATACATACTACAATAATATCCTCATATGAAATATATTAACAAGTGTTTCTACAACTTTATCAAGAATCTGAATATTTTTTTTCAATAACATTATTTTATTTCAGATTTCAACACAGTATACGTTCAAGTAACGTTAAAACTTCTTTATCTGAAAAACATTTTTCCCGCAACTTAAAGGCAATACATATCCCAAAGTTATTTAGCAATAATACAAACTCAATAAGATATTCAGATATCGTACTGTATTCTGTAAATGTTTTTACTTTATATCACTTTATATACGTATATACGATAGGCGACGAGTACAACAAGTTCCCTATTGTATTAAGGAATTATAAGCCAAATTCTAAGTTCAATATCAACGTTCAGTACATTTTTCATAAATCCTAAATTATCTTCGGTAACAAATGCATCGCAATTCATCGTGGTCGATGCAGACAGATCTTTTATTATTATCATTATAATTATTATTCGTCTATAACGGTTTGCGTAATTAACACGTCTCTATGATAACCCTTCCGATTAGTCAACAGATACACTACGATCTTTTCTTATATTATGACCTAAGCTTGCATTTAGCATTTATACAAAAACACTTTTAACAAACTGCACATACAAAATTTACGAACCATGTTAAGTTAGTGCTCCCACCTAAGGTTACTGTACAGTATATTTATACGTGCATACGTATAGAGAACGATGACATCAAAAGCGAAAAATTCTTCAAAAGAATTATTTTTCTGCTTTTATTTGGGGAGATAAACAAACTGAAATAGATAAATGAGAATAATTTTTAAGCTTCCTTCGCTTTTGACATCACTATTCCGTGTACGTGGACAGAATGGCTAAACAGTAGTGTTATAACACAATACCTCTCTATTGTTACTAAGTCCAATATTATTGCTCAGTTATTATCGACAGTATGCCGTTTCTTATTGGTTACTTTATTTTACTTTTTGTTTGAGTTGCATTTATAGTGCACGTCCCGTGAATTCGGTGGGTGTTTTTCAACAATTATTATTTATTAACAAATGCGCGAGACAACAAACTTTTTTAAATAGAAGTAAAAATATCTACTTGACCGACCCTCGTTTTACAACATTCAATCAGTTAAATTTAAATAAATGCTTTTTTTTCAAGTCCTTCACGCCCTACTTATTTTGATTTTCTCTTCTTGCTAGGCTTACCTACGGATTTGTTGGCACTTCCTGAAACGACAGAAACACATAGATTTAATAGCCAATCAAGAAGATAATTAAATTCTTTGTTTATTGAAATATAAAGAATAATGCAAGAAATCCAACCGTCGAAGAAGAAAAATTATAAATGGTATATGGAGCATACAAGTAACATAAAATAAATATATCACATTCGTCTACTGATTGGTTCCATAAACCTTGCCTAATAAAAAGTGATATATCGTAAGGGGATATTAATCGGTATAACATAAACATTCCGCTAAAAAATAACAAAAACAAAGAGCAACGTAACAAAAAGGAATATCTAAACGCAATTGTTCTGAAATATTTCTCACTGTGCATGCAGTTCCAGCGTTACAATCAGCATTATTAAATAATGGTGGCTGTCGCTGTACGTTTCAAGTGCTAATTTCTATACACAAGAAGTGTATATAAAAACAAACAATAATATTAATAACAAGAATAACAATTATTAATAAGAAAGAAAAAAGAAAGGCATAAACGAACTGTCATGCAAGTTCGCGTCCTGCATGTTCTTTCTTTCAAATCACACATGTCAAGGAATATTCATACAATGCTCATCATCACCCCGCAACAATCAGCACCATAGACTGTCACGTACATTATTTAATTTCTGTTTAAATATTCATTTTACGTAATCGGCCGTCGACGTACGGCATCTCGGGACTATTCCGATTTGGCGCGTGTTTTTGTATTTCTAGATTGTGCTTTACCCCAAAACACATTGTCGATGCCTTCTCCAACGAAGTAGAGGACGGTAGCCAGGGCGAATAATACCAGGAAAAAGGCGATTCTCAAAGGCCACGAAAGTACTTCCATTACGGGATATACCCAGATACCGCTTTTAGCATAGATCACATGCATCCTGTAATAAAATAAAGAAATGAGACTCTTATCTATTTTGTATTACAATAAATTACGTTAAAATTAAGTTCTTACCAGACGAGGTAGGAGAGCATGAAAATCAGAAGACCCGTGAGACCACGTGATCTCTTTGGATACTGTCTTGGGGCAACGAGCATCTCCAGCAACGTTGACACCATAATCATCGTATGCATTATGTGATTGAGCCACCATGGAAAATAAAGATCCAATGCCTTAGGTAAGACCAGTTCACGGTCGACAAACATTAATGCCCAAAATGTAACTCCTACGAACTGTCAAAGATTCATGTATGAAAGTAAAAACGTCATCATCAATAGTACCTTATACTTTTTTTGGTGATAAGAAAATAAATAAATATACCATATACATACCATAGCAATGGGAAAGGCTAAGGATGCATGAATATAATCTTTGAGACGTCTGACCAAAGGTCTCTTCTTAGGGTTCAACTTGTTAGTTCCAGCTACATCGTTGAGTATACATATCAGGAAGAATATAACCTGTATAATCTGTAAATAAATTATAGATTTACATGATATTAAAAAATTCATATTCAAAATCTTATTCGACCTAGAACAAATAAGCAATACGTTTACTTTATCGGACGACTTACAACAATATAGATGTTATAAATTTATAATAAACTATATCTATACGTCGTGCTCCCATAAGCTGTATAGTTGTACTTTAGTACAGAATATAAATATATAATTAATTTCTTTTAGTACTTTTTTTTTTTTCTTCAATTTAATCGTACACGCCGAATCATTTAGTACCAACAGTTCAACAGCATTTGATCACCGCCATAAGTACCTTTTAATACAAAACAAGGAGAGCACTAACACTGAATCAGCGAAAGCATTAACTCGTTGTCACTTCAAGTAGCTGTAAGTGTCTCTTGGTCAATGAGGCACGTGTTCCAGTACTATATATGTATGTAAGCAAAGCATCAAGTGACTGCATAATAAATAGCACAGGACCTCTACAATATGTCATAGACAGTATTTCTTTGTTCATTTCTCTTGTTGATTAACAAAATTTACATATGGTAACCGATCCAGCTATTACCTAAGCCATTAAGCGACGTCGTAAAAGAATTGTAATGGTGGTCATTAAAAAGTGTTAGGCACGCGTCACATATAGCCAATAACGACTAAGGGACTGTTCGTGGCAATGTATTGTTTTCACAAGTGAATTGCATATGAAGTTTTGGAGTAACTAGGAGATAGGAAATCTAATGAGACATTTTCGAAAATCGATATTCTGTAACCTTAGTAAGTTTGGAAAATTGCTAAAAGGTACCTTTGTTTCATATTCAGTGAATATTTTGCGAATTTCACGCTTGTCGAGTTCTGGCTTACGTGTGTACTTTGACTCTAAATATATGTACATGTATCGTTGAAAATTAGGTCAAGTGACGAGGTAAACATTTTTTTGCAATATTTTTTTTCATCTTATGGAGGTTTATTAATTGGAAGTTTCTATTAGTAACGAAAACTAAGAATAGAAATATTTGATCTTTGAGCGGCGAATATGCTCTTGAATTTCGTGCTAAAATTATATTTCCACAGAAACACGTGGCCTGTTATAACTCGAGACGGTCTTTGATCGATTAAAAAAATATTCTTCGTTTACGCGCGCATACTGTTCTTTTTCTTTTCTGCTGGATCTAAAGTTCAAACTATTTTAGTATAATGAGTGTGATCCAATAAGATTACTTGAATTTTTCATTAACGCAAGATTACAATCCTTTTAAAATATTCATTGATTACTTGGGGCATGAGAGATTCTGTCTGTATATATTTAACGATTTTCTATCTTATTATATATTTGCCTATGCAACATGACGTAACGGTATTGTCGATGGTATAATATCAATTTTGTCATGCTTCGATTAGAAAAGAGAAATTTTTACTAACCGCATCCAGGAATGTGAGAAATTTAAACTTCCCGCCATAAGCGCTGTGCATCTTAGCCACACTCCTTGGTATGACGATGTATGTGTAATCATAATACACCGCGAATGCAAATTGCAGAAATGCAATTACATGAAAGGCATACAGCAAATACTCCTTCATTGTGTACCTATAATTATCGATATTCAGATGTGCGAATTTATTTAGATATGTTTGATTCCTCAATTTTCATAGCTTGCATAACATCAATCTCTGAAAAATGTAACAATAAAACCTTCTATATTTAATTAACGATTCTAAAATAATTTACATAATCAGAATGGCGTGTAACCTATTGACCTTGCCGCGTACGCAGTTAAAACTTTTTCATATATACGGAATGCGGTAAAAAAAGAATAAGAATATTAAAATCATTAAAAATTCAATAAAAATGAGAATAATAATTGTGCACGCTTCGAAAATTGTTGAATCAGACTTGAGACTCAAAAAGCCATATACAGATTCGAAAAATAATTCTCTAACTTATGATAACTTGTTTTGAGCATACAACAGTGAATTGCTGAGACAAATATAAAGTCCCTGGAATTTCCCGAGGATATCATTAAACGTATATTTTCATTTGTCCGCGAGTTTATAGTTTAAAGAATTCATTTGCCTACGGATTATTTAAATTAAGTTTTTTCCAATGCAGGAACAAAACGTAGAGAAAGTGTCATTGGAAATTAGTCAATAATATCGAGAAAGCAATGGAATTTGGTCGAAGTATATTCAATTGGTCCTAATAATTCAAGTAATTTCTTTAATTAAACTCATCATTTCTCAATGGGAAACGTAACAGTAAGTGTTCAAAGATTCGAGATAAATGAGTCCATCCGTTCGTGTAGTTAAAGCTTGCTTAATTAATACGTCCCAAAGAGCAAAAATATTTTGTTGAACTCTAATTTTGTGCATCTTTATCGCGTCTATCATCATTTTGTAACGTCTGCCAGTGCAAAATATAAAATTAAATACAATTTAATAAATCTGTACGAATCTACGTTGTATTGAATGACAACGTTAGATAACGTAAAAAAAAAACAATAAAATGCTCAGTCGATAAGAAAACTAACCATTGAAAGGAAAAAATTTGCATAAATAAACATAAGACAAACAGTCACAGGTCATACAATTGATAGAACACAGATCCATACACGAATCCCGACACAATATATCAATGGAAGTGATAATAAATATTTGATTTGATAGATTAAGAGAAAAGTTGTCTGACCTAACCTCACGAAAATCCAAAGATAGCCAACGTCAGCACCAGCGTTGCCAATATAAATTCTCTCACTACTATTTAAGTCCAGCTGATTGTTCTTTGAGACAGCGATATATCCAGAGATAAGTATTTCAAAATTGCGACAGTTATTTACTCACGAGGTTTTAACGTCAATACAACTCGTAAATCGAGACACGTCGGAACTTTCTTGCACGACACTTTTTTTTTTCACCACGCGCCAATCGTCGTGATTTTATTGTCACTATCGCGATTCAATAAGCTTTGATAGACAATATACTGACAGTGTGTCGTCTAATATATACACGTACGAAAATGCTGACGAGTAACTTCACTGAACCGACCTTCCGACGGAGCGTTACGTTACTAAAGCGAAAGCTGCTAGGAATAAACCCGAAGTAGATGTCTGTTCGGTTTCACTCTGGGTGGGTACATACATATATCTATCTTCTCTTCTCTCTCCTTCTCTCTCTCTCCCCCTCTCTCCCTCTCTCTATCTCTTTCTACTCCGCACGTCTCCATACTCGGTGTCTCTGAATGTGTATACTATTATCCGTCTCTCTTACTCTGACTTAATTCATGTATGCAACCTCCCTCTCTCTCTCTCTCTCTCTTTTTCTTTCTGCTTTGTCTCACGTAAGTTACGAAGTGAACTCCTTCCTTCACTCTTACAGGTCAAATGTCGTATGTGGCTTTCCACATTCAGTACCAGTTATACAAGCTTTTTAATGCTTCAGATATATCGTATCCTTCTTTGAGGCTAGCTGATATAAATTTTTCTTCTCTCCAGATAAATACTTCACACGTGTTCTTCGTGTACATACTATTACTGACACCACTACTAGCAGTAATACATATAGTTATACCTCCTCTTTTAGATACATAGATGCAATCGCTTTCAAAGGAAAAAAAATACTCATATGAGATTATACCGGTATTGATAATAGTCAGAGCTTTATACACACGCGATAATAATGGTTATCCTTATTTATGATGAAGGTATATAATTTATATATAATATGTGGTGTACTATAAGATTGGAAATAGTAATTTTGCATATGGCTGGTATTGATTGGATGCTCTCAGAAATGGAATTTATTTTAGAGAAATTAGTGGATAAGTGACATAAGACTTTTTTTAGCAAACGTATGAACATCAGTAGAGACTGAATCCCAATCTATCATAATTACATCGTATCTAATCATTTTCCAAGGCGAAATCAATGATGTAGATATTTGCTGCTTAGCTAATCTGATTTTTTTGTGTAAAGACTCATATAAGGATCTGCGAAACAATATCGAGCAACACCTGACAATTATTATTGATCGAATCGAATCAATATGAGAAATGAGGTTAAGCGTCGTGTAACCAAGAGCTTAATATACGTATACTCTATAGTACTAAACTTTATACTGTACTGCTGTATGACTATACGGCTTCGTGGGACGGCGTTTCAATGCACGTATAAATTTATTGGGTTCTTTATTGTTTTTTGAATCAATTTTTTTTCAAATTATTAATAACGATGATACTTACTAAACCCCAAATGGTGAGAAATTTCAATTGGCCAGGATTGAAGGGACTTTTGGTAAATTTTGAGAGAGATGGTGGCATGTTTAATTTCGCAAACACGAAATATAACGTGCTAGCATAAATTATTAGTGTTGTCGTATGAACCATTACATATGATGCGGTTGCAGCCTTGAATTTCCAATCCTGCGAATAATAAAAACAACTCGTTAATATTCATATATTTGCAATTAGGGTTTAATTATAATATGTTACTATAGAATTTGTTTAGGGAATTTTTTATTGTAACAAAACTACCCATTATTTTATCCCTGTCCTTACAGATAATATTGAATAAATTAATTATTCATAAGTAATTAATTTATTAATAACTGTGGAAAATATTACATTCAACATAGCTGAATCGATGAAAATAAAAAAAATCATATAATGACTTATTTCTTTTATGACAAATATCGAACGCTTTTTCTAGCTGATATCCATATTCATAAGTCCAAAAGTCATTGTTTAAACGTAATAACATTGTTTAAAGGTAAAAATAATGATATCGCGCTTATCTACCTCGCTGGAATCTCTTGTTTTTAGTTTGTGTTGTGTAATTGGGAAATGAACTTCAGGATTTGACAAAAACGATAAAAAGGCGTAATATGTATGTCAAAGTCTGTAACCCATAATCAGCATAATTAAAAAGTTTTATCAAGCACCTTCAACCCCAGGATCTCTCAATGAAAATGTTTATGGGCAACAACCGTTTTTAACATACGAATAAATTAGTGTACTTTGAATGCAACTAACTATTACACGATAATGTACAAGAGAGATGGACCCCGTGTGACGTCGGTACCAGCGACACACTACGATTTTATGCCAACATAATTTATTAAAATCACTGTTAACGATAATTTAATTGTTTTCATCAACAATTCTCAACGAAATTTTTTATTAGACTTTTTTAATACGTCGATATCGACAGCCTATCAAATATTCTTTTTATTCGACTCCCCTTGAAAGCCCTCCTTGTCGTGTCTCTCTAATCAGCGTAAAGTGGCTAATTGTAGTTCGGTGACGATTGCGCATGCGCACTTCGTAACAGGGTAAATAAAAATGTTTGCGAGGCTATAGCGGGCTTAAAAATTCTTTTTACTATGAAATTCGTGAAATAAACTTTTTTATCGGGTCTAACCTAGACGTCGCGTTTTCAAATGGAGTCGGACAAAAAAGGATATAATTCAACTCGTCCAATTGCCTTCACATTCTTTAAAATAACCTCCTTTACGCCCTTGATGCACAATATACTATTAATACAAACTGAACGAATGGTTTAAAAAAAAATATCCATGTCACATCTACTATATCTTCACTTATTTAAAAGCATTTATATTTGCACTTCACACAGTGTAAATATACACAGTAACCAGGTTAAATTTATCATCAGTGTACACAAGTAGAGAATAGAATGAACAATACTAACCTACCCAATTAAAATCATTATTAACACGTCAAATTTTTGATTATCAATCCTTACACGTATTTCATATAATAAATCTTTATTTTACGTACCAAGCTTTCAGTCTCTCGGCTTGTACCTGGTTTCCGTGTCATTTTATATTCTGGATATTGGCACAGCAGGAAGTAGTCGTCAAGATTCAAATTTCTTGAATTGCAAAAAAACTGATGCTCCCAAAGAAACTTCAGGAGAGACGAGAAGTTATTTCAGTGTGGAATCGCTTATGTGAGTTACAAAGTCAGACTGGGCAAAATATCTGAGCGCTGGAAACAGATATGTGGTGCGTGCTGTTAATCTATTTCTCCTACCCATTATCAATACTAACGTCCGTGCACTTACACACCTTCAAAATACGTTTCATTAGTATTGACGCAGTATCTTTGTATGTCTTGATTAAGGAATCAATCGACCCGGACCTTCTCATTGTGAAAAACTGTAACTTAAAGGCCGATGCTCCAAACATAATTGCATTTATTTATTGCCAATCGAATTTGCACTGTTTTCGAACCATGTTAGAACGGTCGAGCTGGATCACTGGATTCCATTATGTGGGTCGGTGCATTCACCACTGTCAGTGATACTTGGTCTAGTAGAATATCACTGGGATTTTCCATTACGACGGAAAAGGTACTAGCGTTCTTATGAAATTTCTAAAATTTTATTTGATTCATTGACAAAAAAGAAGCTGCACTATTTATCGGAACTAATACATTTCTTTAACATCTAAAATCGTATTTTGAACTCCTGATTATACTATAGTATATTCATTTTAACTGTGCTTAAGATTCTACTCGTTTCTTTCCGACGAAATTCAATTACGTCATTCAATTCAGTTCAATACGAATTCAGTACGTTGCGAAATTTTAAGGAGTAGTTAAACCTGGGTGTTATCTCGAATTTATTATTGATGTATGAATAATCATTCATAATAAATGTTTTTCTCAATAGACTATGATAATCATCTGGAAAGCTCTTATCTCATCGTCAAAGAAATTTTATACATTTCGTGAACTTTGATATCATTTTTGACTATGTGCATCTTCAAACAGCATACACAAATATAAAAAGGACTAAACATATTTTTCCGCACAAGTAAGACATTGGTTAATAACAGCGGAGAAATCGACGGAAATGAAAACGATGAAAACTGACCGGCTCAAGTTTCTATAACGGTCGTACCGTTACGACATAAACCACAATATACATAAAAATATGCAGATAAAAATACATACAGTTATGACACGTCTGTTAAAACCGAATACGTATACGAATTTGCTCATAATATAAATATACGTATGATATTTGCATTATCCATTACATATTAAAGTTTCAGCCAAAAAATTTATAGAAGAATCTTGCATATACCAAAATGTATATAAAATCATTGCATCCACAGTTATTCAATAAACTGCATGTCTGATATAGTATTTAATATTTAACTATATTACGATATATACAGTATAGTCAAACAGGTAACAACTCAGGCCACCATGAAGAAACCGTCATGCCCAGGCGCCTTAACGATTACGTAAAAAAAATTTTATTTCGTTTACACAGGGCACCAAAAACTTTAGCTTCACCCCTGCGTGCTAGAGTGCGTATACTATATGTACATACACTATAGCACGTAACATAATATGGCAGGAATACAAAAAGATTCTCTTGCCAGGTAAATTGCCAGCATATAGGATAATTTCCACCTGGCGATCAGGTAGCGATCTGTCGTAACGATTGAACAAAACAGCGCCTTAATACTGATTTACCAGTGGATAAATCGCGTGTTGCATCGTTGAAAACAAAACAGTATAGAAATCGACATTGTATATACCATGATACAAATAGACGAGGTATAGCCACTAGCGTTTGTATTTTGGTCAAGCTCGCGCAGGCATCAATGACATTACGTTCAAAGCGACATCACTTTTTAGTTTGAGGGGACTTAGTTACGTTTCGGTTCGTAACAAGATGGCCCCTCAAAATGGTACGACGTTGCAGCGTGACGACCGTCAAATGTAGTCAGCCAACCAGAACAAAGAGAGTCCAGTGATCAGCCAATCAGTAAAAAGAGGATCCAGTGACGTCACTGTCTGAATGCGCAGACCCGCTAGTGACTATACCTGCTCTATTTGTATCATGGTATGTATAGTCCACCAGGCTTCGGACAGGTTGCACTAAGAGAGCTGCTTCGAAAATCGGTCCTCGGTTGTCACTGAATTTCCGTCTGCTACGCTTTTATGTACTCGTGAACTTTCCACAAGCATGCTATAGTCTGTGGAACGGTATGTTGTGTCGTTAGAGGGTTCTAATCGTCCCATTTGGATGAGTGAATACTTTTGTGTAGACATTGCATTTTTAAGTGTCTATACGCTATACATGGTGGTGCATGTGCGGCATTCACGTGTTACGTATTGTGGGCAACGTCATGAACATGGTTGAGCGCGGAATCCCCGGTGCGGCACGTTCTACACTTATCTGATAGTTCCGGATTGGTTTCCTTGAGTGACGCTCATAATCACTAGTCGAGTGTGATTTGGTGCAAAGTTCTTAATATTGTATTTGTATCAACCTTGACTCAATTGATAAATAGTTTTCATTGTTACGATACCGATCGCTACTGTTTCTATCCTTGTTATGTATTACTGACAAATTAGAATTATATTTTTTGCTGTTTTCGTGACATACGGTGAGATTCTTAAATTATTATATATTTAATAAAATGCATATTTTTATCGTTTATTTAGCTAATTCATTCGTTTAATTGATATCACGAAGTCAATTATACATATATATTTAATTCCTTTTTACGAAACATGGTTCTAGTCGATTGGTATAGGAATTTCTGGTTTAATCTGAATTTAAATATTTTTGTATGCTCTCTAAATAATTTATTATTTGTAGTGGGTCTACCAAAAGTCTGTTGCTATGTAATGAACGAATGTATATATTACATTCATGTCTGACGAATCCGTGAATGTATCCCGTTAGGTGAGCTCATCACGAAATTGCAGATGTTAAAAAAAAAGATGACCGAAAACCAAAATTTTAGATATTACATAACAAGAATGCTCGATCTAAGTAAAATTTAAACAAAAAATTCGTCCAAACGTACCTATATGTCCGATAAAATTATTGTCTATTACATCCTTTGTTACGGATATGACACTGTAATTTTGTCGTACCCACTTATGAATTATATCAACTAAATTAATATATCCTGATAGTGCCACAGTTTAAAAGGGCTTCTTAATAGAGCCCTCTCTATACAGCCTCATGTAAAAAGGTTACTGCACCTAACATCCATTTTTTATAAAAATAATATGGCACGAAACATGTAACGCCAATGTTCGATCGATATTATATTAACGATATACATACATATATAATTATATGTATACATAAAGTACCAAGGTTATGTTATGTTGGTTAACCGTTTTATCGGTATTTTGTTTGCCAACATTATCACACTGCTAACACGTTTCCTTAATCGTTTAGGATAATCACTACGTTCAAAAAAGTGAATCATACTCCGAATGATATTAAAACAGCACGAATTCGATTCTTATATACGCGATTAGTATTTCGATTCGATTTTCAAATAGATTCAGCAGAAAGAAGAATGCTGTTTAAACTCTCCAGTATTTCAGGCTAAGTACGGCGCGACATAAACTGTAGAACAGCATGTTTCGCTATATTATGTTATAGACTGTTCCATAAACAGTCATCGAGGTTTCGTGAAGCGTACTTTAGTTTCGCAACGCGTAGCAACCGAGAGTGAGTAGTGAGTCAGCCTGTACCGGTAACCGGCTGGTTTCTTTTCTTTTTTTTTATTCTGTAAACTATTTTTTTGTTTATTATTTCCTTAAAGTGTCTTCATATTCCTCCGTTCTATTTTACTCATTCGCGACATTGGTATCTCGTGCTTCGGTCTGTACGCTGTACTTTAACATTTATCGAGCCGTCTCTGGAGGATTGGAAAAGTCGTTGCCATGTTTCTTACTTTATGTGGGTATAATCATTAGGACTGAGACTAAATTGTCATGCTCGAATGATTCTTGGACAATTCTTTGTTCTTTGTTTCCTTGAGATTGCAGTGATGATCATTTTTCTTAGATACATAACAATTTGACATTTCCACACTGAGCCACTTAAGCAATTTAGTTTTGACTATTCTATTTATATGTAGTATTCAGAAGGGTGAAGTTTGAAGTTGTACAATCACAGTTGTATATCACATTATATTTGTATTCATGAATCACTTGTGTGACAAAATTGCGCAGATGATTTATGAATGTTATTAAAGACGTATAACTATTTTAAAACGATCCAAATTGGTTACAGGCGTGTTTGTTATAAGCATCTTACCCTCCGTTCTTTTCATTAGAGGATTGAAGCGACCCCTATTCCAAATCATTTCCGAGTTTTGAGATGCATATCTTGTTGTTCCTGACACCCCAGTGACCGAAATTCGAAACTCAGCTCAGGAGACTTTTTTTTACCGACTTTTGGTTTTGTATACCTTTCAACTTAAGACTCTAGAACAGAATTTGCGCGCACTATAAAATATTCTTGAACCGACTTAGAGAGTGCACGAGCGTTAAGATAGTGATTGGGATGTAAGAGACTCACCAGGCACCTGTGTATATAATATTACAAATTTCGCAAAAATGAATAGCTCACGGGTTATTAATAATTGTTTTAAAAAATATTTAAATAATTAACGATAAAATAATAATAATACCTAGAAACTATTTCAGTATTAATTTTTATGGGAGCAAATATATCATTTTCACTGATATGGAACAAAAAGGCATATATATGTGGTGGTTAAGCTTATAATTTAGACCGATTTCAGGTTTCTATAAAATGGATACTAATGAACATTAAAAAAAATTTGCTAATGTAAACTCTTTAGGAACTTTCAACTATCGTATACAAAAAAAAAAGACACGATAAAAAGTTTTTTATTGATATAAATAATTTTATGAAACACTATTATATTTCAATATATTAACGATATATATTTCTTTTTCAAAAAAACATTTGTCATATATTTCCAAGAACCCATACGACTTTAACGAATAATAATTACCCAGATTTATGCAAAGCCTTATTACTAACGACTTTTTAATTAAGTTATCGCAGACATCACGCGTCTGTTTTCCGATTAAGTGAAATTTTAGTTTAAATTATATATGTAAACTCGGACACGTGTATTCTTGGCGTTGAGAGAGTAGATTTTGAATATTGAAATATTGTTACTTATTCTTTACTTATAGTCTTATGAGTTTGCAGGGATTCTAGTCAATTGTTATTAACTATTGAAATATGATTTCGAAAGTGTCAGAAGTATTTTCTTAGTATCCTTCGATGTTGGCGATACTTCAGTTTCGCAATTGAACATTTACGTAGAAATGTGCGGTACTTATGTCGCGTCTCTTTATTTCTTGTTGAATTCGCAGTACTTCTCTTATAATTTCATAACTCAGGTTTGCACCGAGTGCATTGGTCCCTCACGGGCAGATAACTAAACCAAGTCATGTAAACTTTTCGCGTTGTAAATTTCATAATTAACCGCGACACGGTTTAAATTCGCTGGTGCTCTGAAGTCACATAGAAGACGACGCATCATAAATATGCCACTCGGTGTACCTAGATATGGGTTTATTGACATTTTATTCCTAGTAACAATGTCAGTTGGTACATAGGAATACATAAACAGTTTCACAACACTTAATACACTATGAATAAATCAACATAATAAATTTAATATAATTTCACTATTATCGCAAAATTAATTGTGCGAAATATTTATTCGAGGATTTGGTATAGCAAACTTTTTGCGAAACTTTTTTTAACTTTACTTTTCGTCGTTGACACTCAAACGATTGTGCGTTATGCCCGTTCGATAAATTGAATGAAATATTTGATATTTCGATTTTTTCTTATTTTTCTGTATCTTACTTCAGATTGGTCATCATGTCAGAATACTGCGAATTCATGTGGAATTCGGCGCGTAGGCCCATGGATTTGGCGCTGGCAAGGAGCCTCTACGATGAAGGCGGACGAATTGAAGTTCGCGATAAAAAATTGGCCGTCAAAACAGTTCGTGCGATTTTACGAGATATGCCAGGCGTTGGTAAGAAAAAGTTTGACTTTATTTCTTTATTTTTGTCCTTGTTAGTTTAGTCGTAATTATTATATATGTGTGTATATATATATCAACATACATCTTTTAATACCATTTGTTCTGATTATCTCTGCTTGCTAATAATAAATATCTTCGTGATAGCAATACCGAAGAAAAAGAACAAAAGGTTGTTTGAAAATTCCACTGCGTACATTTCCTATGTACACTTATTGCACAGTATATACAGCTTGACAAATGTTTTGTAGATTCTTTCTGTTTTTAACGATTGTGCAATTTTCCATATAGTATACATTTGCACAATTTGTGTCATCATTCTTGGATACGGTATGATAATTTTTGTATAATCATAATAGCATGTTTATTTTTAATAGCCATATAGCCGTCAAGCTACTCAAACGTATAGAGCTTTTACTGTTGTTATTGTTAGGAAAATTATATGTATAATCGATTCAGCAGAACATTACGACTTGAATTTGTTTACTATGTTTAACAATTAGACACGTCGATCAATAGAAAGTTGAAAGTTGGTATTATTTAAATAGTCCTGAGAAATTATTGTTTTATCAGTTACACATATCTTGATGCAATTTTGTGCAAGGTCTGATAAAGAAAAGAATGGATTTCCTGTAAGACCGGAAGTCTATTTATAATATGAATTAAAATGATTGCACAATGCTACGTTCTGTTTCTATACCTATTATGATTTTGTAGACCTCTGTGTATTCTTGACAGGAAGCTATTCTGAACAACCTAATGCTAATTACTAAACGTCTCATTATTATTCGCAGACATCAACCAATGTACTGACGAATACATAACGCGCTTCCTGCTAGCCCGGAAGTACAGGACGGAACAAGCTGCTGCCTTGATTGCGGCTTATCAGGCGCAAATTGTCCATCGACAGGATATTTTTGGAAATCTCACAGCTCGTGATCCTGCTCTTCAAAGAGCACTTCGTGCTGGGATACCGGGTGTACTTCCTGCTAGAGATCGGTACTGATTTTGATATTATTAAAAATTTTGTTGATTTAAGTAACATAGATGCAGTTTTAAAAAATAACCTAATATCATGGATGATCTGAACTTTATGTTTGTAATATTACTTTACTATATTCTTTTTGTATTATTTTATTTATTAGAAAAGGGCGATGCATCTTGGTCATATTAGCATCGCAATGGGATCCTATTGCAGTACCAGCATTGGCTGTACAAAGAGCTATTTTTCTTGTTTTGGAAATCCTCATTCAGGATCCACGAAATCAAGTTAGTACATTTTTTTATTTCTTTTATTTAACTGCCAGATGTACCTTTTTAATAAATAATTGTTAATGTACCGTACGAGTTTTATTTGGTTGACATTAAGAATTTAAGACTAATTTGGGTTTTTTATAGCATTCGGGGTTCGTCGTTGTGGTGGACTGGAGTGGATTCTCTTTAAGACAGGGCGGCGCCCTAGGTGCAGCAGCACTTCGTAATCTCATAGGAGCCTTACGAGGCCGATTTCCGGCCAGATTCAAAGCAGTTCACTTCCTATCGTCTCCTCTTTGCGTACAAGCCACTCTTGCTATTGTTAAGCCCTTCCTGGATGAAAAAACGCGAAACAAGGTAATCGTTGGTCAATAGATGTTCCATCGTGCACATGTAATATGTAATATGACCTACTGTAATCAGTCTCGAATTTCCGGTCGGCCCTGACCACGTCTCAATATCATTTCTTTAATGTACTTGAATTGATATAAAAAAAGCAACGTGTTTTGATCGTGCAAAATGTTAATATATTTTCTATTATTTCAGATCTTTTTACACGGAAACAATCTAAGCACTCTTCATGAACATTTACCTACTGATATTTTACCAGCTGATCTAGGTGGTACAGGTCCTGCCTTTAACCCTGGTTTATGGGCTGAACCAGTAATACACTCCGCCATGAAGGAGGCTGAATTGGCAGCCATTAAAAGGGACAAAGAAAAGGCAGAGAGAGCCGAAATGGTGAAAAATGTCAACAACACAAATATATCTAATGATGAAATAAAGAAGGCCTCTCAACTAGTAGACAATTCTACTACTGATGATTTGCCCAAAAGTAATGAAGATAAGAATATAATTAGTGATCAGCAAAAGATTGATAGTGTTGCAAATGATATTGGACATTTGAATTTGTTACGAAAATCTGAGGAATCTTCAAATATTGACAAAAGTATTCGTGGTTTGGATACAGGAACGAATGAGAAGGATAATGTAAATGATGCTCAGGGATCTTTGGTTGATTTTACGGATGAAGATATCGATGAGGACAGTGGTAGTGTAAAGAAAGATGTCACCAATACTGAAATGCAAAAGCAAGAGCTAATATCTAAAGATGAGAATAAAAATGAAGATTTGAGAACGCAATATAGCGATTATAAAGATGAGAATAGTATTACTGTGTCTTTGGACAACTTGGAGGTTCTAAAAGACGACATAGAGACCTTGCAAATGGACTCTGAGACAAATTCGAATGAGTTTGAGATGGTACCGAGACATCTTGAAAACGAAGATAGCAGCAAAGACAATTCATTGGATTTGAAAGTTGAAAAGGTTGTTTTAAAGAGTGGAAAATATCAACTTCCAGAAGAGTCCAATTTGATTATGTAATGAAATATGAAAAAAAAAGAAATGGCGAATAATGGATAGTACTTTTTTATTTTATGGACCTCGCTGTTTTGATAATATATAAAACAGCTAAATAATGCGCCTGAAGTAAAAAAAAATTTTCATATTGAATTTCAAATGGCAGCTAAACCACGTATAAGTTCCTTATTATAATTTAGGAATTTATTGTCGTTTTACAAATAAATATTGCTTCGACGGAAACAAGAAACAAATTTCACAGGGACATAATGAAGATTGAAAAAATTTTTTTACAAAAAACAACTGACTTACGTATTTTCTTAAGACATTCTATTTATTTTGTTTCCTTTTCTGTCTTCAATTTCTGCTTTTCTTCCTTATATTTCTAAACCATTTTTACTATATAAACAATAAGAATTTACTGCAAATAACGCAGAGCATCTTAATCCTGTCATGCAGCTCTCGAAATATCTCATAGCGTATCATAATCTTCACTAACTATGCGAGACAGAAAAAGTACAATTTTCTTTAAAGTACAATTTTTTATTTAGGAATATATGTTTCTGATCGTCCTATCGAGTTTGACAGTAAAAATAACAATTATATTTATTTCGATTCTAAAATATAAAAAATTGCAAGGAGAAATGTTAAAATGGAATATCCTGTGATCCTTTAAACGCATAACGCTTTCCTTAATAACGTATGGGATACGGTGTACTATTAAGAACTGTGATTTAGAACAAGTGCTAATTTATTAAGAAAATAAAACAGCAAGAAAGTGAAAAAATTGTTTAATATATGTATATCTTCCTGCAAAAGACAGTTCATTATCTGTTATACTTTTTCAGGTTTTTTCACATGTGGAATTTATAGCTTCTTTTTAAGTAGTGGGATGTATTTAGAAAATTTTTAAAATAAATGGGTCGTACCCACGTAAAGACAATAAAAAATACTAATACTCAAGTTAAATTTTTTATATTCCAATACGTTTACCTTATATATATTTATATTAACCACTCGAGAATGACGTAAGACGTGCCACGCACGTCAAGATGTTTTTGTTCTAAAGTCACCAAAGTGTTATACACGTCGATTGTTTCTTGTCGCGGAAATAAAAATGACGTGCGCGGCACGTTGACTGACAAGGAGAAGGCACGGCAATTGGATTTTTGTAATTTTTCATACTTATGGTACATGAAGCTGAAAACTCTAATAGTAATTTCCCAAAGCACTTCGATGCTATATCCAGAAATTCTTGAGAAAATCGACTTTGAAATTTTGCGAACCATTTAAGTGCACCAAATATGTTACAGACTTCGAACAGCTCCCGTAACTCACCCGGTAGCGCTCAAGCCTAACAATCACAGGATCGATGGTTCGAGTCTCGCTTCTAGCGTTTTTTTTTTTTTTAATACTTACGTCATTTAAATATAAAAATCACCAAATCTATGCCAATCCACATAAATATAATTATAATCTTCAATGGAAATCGCACGTTTTCTATTTAATTATCTCGAGCTTAAAATGGCGAACAGGTGAAAAGAAATAATATCCAGCATTAATATTTTTCCATTAATAATATATACAATAATTAATAATGGAAGAATATTACTGACCGAGTTTCTTCTTTACTTTTACAGTTCTATTCCTTAGTCTCCCAATGGTCCATACTTCCATACTTCTTTATTTCCATCTTTCCTTCTGTTTTCTTCTTTCACTCTGTTCCCCCTGTCTCTTCAATGTGTTTATCCTACTTTGCCTATTTGGTCCCACTAATCATATTCATTCGAGTACTCATATAACGCTAGTCACCCTGTTAGAGTAGCTACACGTAGACCATGTTGTCTGGTGTTTGTTCTTTCGCTTCATCCGCTGAGCATGCTCAGTGGGTCGGGTGTAAGTTGTGGTCCCAACAGAATCCTTTGGGTCTCCCGACGTGGATCTTGAGTCCATTCGAGGTACGCTACGGCCATGGTCTTTCGTGTAGTGAATCTAACTAGGGTGTCTATCTTCCACGTCTGCAGTATAATTTATTCGCTTTACTCTAAGACGTTGTTGACCCTTGATCACTGGTGTGGGTGGTGACGATTCTATGTGTCGACGGTGAAGTCGTTGGCTCTAGGCAAAATCCTGCCTATGATTGTGCACTTGGGTCAGCTTCACTTGAAGTAGTATAGGCAGAGATGAGTGGGGAGATTGCCAATGAGCCGATTTTCATAGTCCAAGTTTTATTTCGGCTTCGATGTGCCTCTAGCGGAGGGCCCTTGAACTGATACCTTAATCCCTATCGGTCCCTATCAACGCATAAGTGTTTCAAGATAATTTATTCAACAAATAGAATAATGAAACAGTATACGAAGTACAGATGTACATATACATGGCCTGTGAAAGATTACCAATAACAATAACATTAGAGATATATTAAATATATCACTACGATATAATATACATAGTGACGTTATTTTCTTCAAGCCGCCTCGTAGCAAGGCAACCCTATTGAGCGACAAATAATAATGACGATACTCTAATATTTCTCCGGGAAAACGTAATTGAGAGATCTTTACTAGGATTACCGCCAAATGGACGCCAGACGCAACGTTGGGTCGCGAGACAAACGAAACCCCCGAGAAAATGAAGAGGACTCCGGCTAGGAGGAAAGAAACTGAAAGAGATAGTAGAGGGGCAGGGAATGCACATATGGTAAAGAGAAAGTAGATTGAAAGACCACGAGATATCTAGTAACAATAACAATGGGCCCTTTTATTCTGGGACTTATAAAATCATAAAGTTAACAAATTAAATAACAATTTGACGACAAAGAAATAAATAAGAACACGATACCGCGCAAGACGAGGTCCTATACGGGACATGCGAACAAAATACGCTAATTGTAAGATAAAAGTAACAGGCTATACAAAGTCCTTGCGAGACACGTGAGACGAAGAGGAATAGTCGTATCTACGATACACTCTACTTCTGTAACCTACAGGGCTCGAAACAATTAGGTGCCCTCGCGATACGGCTATTCGTTCTACAATAAACGCAGATATCAAACTACTCGGAGACGTGAATTCACGATACGTTCTGTACAGTTCACGCAACGCGAGCAAGACAGACGAAATCGAGTGGTGGACAGAGAGAGTAGGTCCCATAGGATGTAATAGAATAGAAAACGTAGGTCGAATTACTACGCGAGTAAGACTTTTAGAAACAGAATAGTTAAGATTAGAAATACGTGTTCCGAAGGTGCAGTGCTGTGCCTTAGTGCAGTGCCCACCTGAGTGTCCTTTGAATACAGTTCTCGGCCTTCACGGATTAGCTGCACGAGCTCCGGTGAGGATTCCCAATTTATTAATTGGTGACGGGATTTCAATTGATAGTTCAGATTCGACATGTTACGTTCTCGATTCGTCGCTCTCTGTCTCTCGCATTATTTGCCTGACTTATTCTCTCTACCTCAACCTAGCAGCCTGAGCGGCCGTACATTTCCGTAACCGTCCGCTCCCGTTCGTGCATCCAGTTGCGTTTGCTGATTTTACACGACCCCAAAGATCAACACCTACGGTTGCGTTTCTCGATTTTACGCAAAAATCCCAGGATCCGTTAAATCGACAGGATCCGTTAAGTTATCGTCTTTTCTGCTAGGTTCCGTCAGAACTCTCGATTTGGCGGAGTTGGGCCTGTTCCACCCCAACTTCCAATTTATACCGGCTCGTCAGTTCTCGGTGAGAAAAGACTTGGCTGGTGCCCGCCTGACTTACGGATGCATGAACGAAGGGTGGACGGCCGAAGATAACGCAGGTTGGTTCTCAAAGATAGTTCGTTCTCGGGTGTTTCGTTATCGATGTCGAGTTAAGAAAAAAATATACGTTAAAAGCTATAATCAATGTTTCGAATGTTTAGTGTTTCTGTGCAACTGGTTTTTTCATTCTTCTTCTCGCGGGTTATCCGCTAACTTTTTTCAACATGTCCGTCGTCGCGGCGTGGGCTGATTAAAGGGAAAAAATAATAATACCCAGCCACACAGGTGAGTGCGTTTTCAATGTAAATACTTGTTTCCTACTTGTACTTATGTTCATCTGCCCGGTTTGTTACTCACGAATTCTCGGGAACAAGAAACACTCGCTTTTTTATGTATTTATTGTATGTGTATAATGTAATAAAATGTACATAGTAAAATATAATTATGTGTTTATTAAATCCTATGATAATTAATAGAATCAATAAGCATAGTGAGCAAATCAATATAATAAAGAAAAGGTGATGACCGAGTCTCAAACCCGATAAGTACTCCTGCGCGTAACCGAAGCACCATAAACGTATGCTGTTGAGTCCCCATGAGAAGAAAGTCGAGAAACTGGTATTTCTGTTAGTACCGACGTTTGGGGTTTGTTTAGGGTATACGTTTGACCAATCACAAACGGAGGGACTGGTTCCAGAGTGCTCCGTCTAGATAGCGCATTGACATAAGAATACACCACTGAACTATACTCAACATGGAACGCGCCCACTGTAGTGAAAGCGTGAGTCTAGAGAGATAGCATTTTTATAGTGGGATCCATCTTTTTCTAAGCGTTTTAGCCAATGAGGTTCCTAAACTCGGAGTCTCGTTTCCATAGATACCGTAACAGGCAGGAGTGTACATTCCAGTTTGCCACATATAATCCCTGAAACCCGCCGGGGCCACTTTGTAGATACTTTCCAGTTACAACTTGCAATCAACACGTGATTAGTGAGGTTCGAAAATATTTTTGGGATATGATATATCCACAAAAATGGAAAAAACTTCTTATATTAAGGTGTGTGAGCAAGAGTGGCGACCCAACAGCACCATTTCATTTCACATGTAATGTGCGTTATAATATTATACAGAAAATAGTCGTGCTTTGTTGTGACCGAATAAGTTATCTATAAAAAAATATTCTCTACTCGTTATTTACCACTTATTTAAGGACGTTACGTTGTTTACGTAGCCACCAAAATTCATGTAATATATCGCGTCAAAAAAATTACGAAAATTCCTGGTTCGGGACGTCGGATGTCTTTATACGGCCCTGAAAAACAGAGGTCGTCCACTATATCGGCTATCTCTCTCGACTAGCGCTTTTACTACCGTGGACGCGTTCCATGTTGAGTATAGTTCAGTGAAATACACACACTTTACTGATCTGTGATATAGGTGTTTTTGAGCACCTGTAAGATTGAAGTCTTTTTTTGTATTTTTCTTTATGTCCGTTTTTCTTGTCACGACCCGGCTTCCATCACCATCTTCTTGATGCTGGAGATACTTTTCCGATCGTAATCTTTTAATTCCCTGAACTAACTAACTCTACTTACTCCTTTTATCTACTATACACTATTCGAGGCTTGCAAACCAAGAAATTTGTTTGCACTCTGAGATTGCTTAAAAATTCTCACTATTATGTTTGTTTTCGTTACATACACCTTCTGCACATTTCAAAAAGTGCAAATTCTTATTAGATGATATTTAAGTAACCAATGAGAACTTGCCCCTTTTAAAAAGTGCAGAAAGCATTGGTAAAGAGAACAAACCTATTGTAATTTGTCCATGAACAGAGTCGCTATCTAGCTTTAACTTGAATTTCAACGAAATTTCATTTTAATAATACAACGATGTATGAATTACACAAGAAACAAAGATCTACTACTGGTATCGGCAGTAGTACACCGATTTTCCCGCTAGATGGCAGGTGCCTGCTTATTGTCAGTGAAGTTATCGATCGCGTATACATTTATAAATACATATATTACAATATTTCTCACAACATTCGTTATTTACGTTTCATCGTGTAGTCATACGAAAGTAATTTTATATCGCCAAAAACATATTGTCGCACAGGTACAAAGAGAAAGTAAAAAAAAATAAAATCATATATATGGTTCATTCTGCATTTATTTACGGAAACAGGCCGTGCTCTGCATTTCCGGATATTAAAATGGGAGTGTTTGCCATATGGTATTCGAGCCACAAGAATCTTAATTATGCATTTAATCTTTTACTGCGTATACGTTCTTGTCCTACTTCGGAGTCATATTAATAATAATAATAATGGTTTACGTTAACTTTACATAGCACCGTAGGCATTGCATTTTCCTGTGATTATCCTAAAATAATTTTTATAAAAAATAAACAAGTGCAAAATGGTTTCTGACATCATGCAAAGCATAGGAAATACCATTTTAACTCACCATTATACAATCTGCAGCAGGTCAGCCTTGAAAAATTCACAAATACAATATCTTAACCACCCATTTACCAGAAGGTTTCTGCTTTACCAGATGTCGTCCTACTGCGAATTCGAAAAATTTCTAGGTTTAACAATTCAAGTGAATCGATCTTCCCAGAATGAAGCATGCGCGTTACGAAAGGACCTGCGCCCTGCGGAAACACATCAGGACATGCGCCCTACCGTTCTGTAAATGTAACCAGGGTTTCTTCAGAGTAATTTTTTAACCAAAACAAAGGACCCACCGTAGAGATGAAGTAGCCTAAAAGAAATCGGTACTCATACTGTGACCTTAACAAAATGAGTCCCGGACTAGGCCATGATCCATTGCCCTCCTACAACATTACCGGATATGGTGAGCTTGACGCAACAATTTCAAACGCAGATATTCTCACGAACTGAAAATTGTCAAATCTTGCTTGAAATTAATTTTTAGTTTTTTTTTTCTCATCCTATCTTCCTTTTATAGGAAACGCTGCACTGTGTCTTTGGCAACAGCCACAACACATTCTATTTCAATTGGCGAATTTTTGCTTTGCCCTTTCCTACTCTGCACCGTCCTCCAAGAAGGGTATACTCTTCATGCATTCCGTACTGATAATCGGTAAGTACAAACACACTGTATATGTATATATGTAACGTTCAACGATACCCGTGATAAATGTCATTTTTAAAAATTTATTTCATTATTTTAGGATTTATGCTACTATCTGGATGGGCATGGCACGTTATTTGTGCGCCTGATATATTCTCCTGGAATTTCAGTTTTCTTTTATTAAATATTGGCCAATTGGTATATATAGTCTATCAAATGAGACCTGTCAGATTTGATCCTGAACTCGAGGATGTATATCACACTCTCTTTTATCCATTTAAGGTAAATTACTTCAGAAGAAAAGTAGCATTGAAATAATAATATACTACGTATACTTATGAATGGTCTTTAAAATTCAAGGTATCACGATTACAATTCAAAAGACTGGTGTCCCCGGAATTCGCGACAATAATGTCACTACATGCGGGTGAGGCCTATGCTATGCAAAACCTAACGAGAACGGATCGTCTCGGCTTACTTTTAAGCGGCAAGGTTAACGTGCTAAGCGACACAAATTTTCTTCATCCCATTTTACCCTGTGAGTTTCTCGATTCGCCAGAATTCGAAAGTTCAAGAGCATCGGTGGATGACAAATTTAAGGTACACGTTGTTTCAATCCAATAGAAATTCAAGTACGTACCATATCGATAGAATCCAGATGAAATTAGTTTACTGAGGATTCCCTAGGTGTCCATAGTTGCAGCGAGCTCTTGCAGATACTTGTACTGGCAAAGATCAGCGCTGGAATATTTGCTAGTAAAGGAAGCATATCTTGCCACAGTTTTAACAACGCTTGTAGCTAGAGACATAGCCACAAAATTGTATGCAATGAACAACAAGGTATAATTCTCTATAATAAATAACTAACCTATCAGACAATATGATTATAATAAGATTGGTTTTAACAAAGGTTAAATTATTTTATGGAATTCTAGATAGTCACTGATAAGGGATCTCATCTGGACATCAGATTACCAAGTATAAGTGCCGGCCTTGGAATGGGTGGTGAATACAGAAGTCCACGAGCTTCGAGACAAGCTTTGATACGCAGAAAGGAGAATAAACTTACAAACAATGGTACATTGAGTAATTTGAGTAATTATTAGAAATCTTTAATTATAATACCAACGTCAGGCTATTTCCTTTTGGAGGTTGTCGATCCTTTAATGCTGTTTAATATTATTTCAGTTTGTGGTGCTAAGCCGAAGGATCGGCCTGTAAATAATTTAACAAAGAAAGGTGCACCGAATATGGAGCCACTGCCAGAGTTACCGTCGTGCGACGACTTGACGTCGAGTGGCGTCGAAAGTTGGCTCGATTCGTCAAGCAAGTATCACAGCTGTGAAGTGGTCGACGAGGACTAGCGTACCTGTAGCAGCCAGTAGTTCGATTATCAAATAATTAGTATTAATCGATGAGACGAGTATACACGATTGTGTGTGTATTATATTTTTCTCAAGGTTGCACAGATACACGAAATTCATTAACATTGTTGATATTACACAAGGCCTGAGCTAATCTATTGTTGAGGAGCCGCGACGCGGACTTCAGACTCTTTAGCAATAATACATTTATACAATGCGAAAGTTTACAATAAACGAACCGATCTTCCTGTAAGATTTGACAAGAATCGGCACACTAATCAGTGAATCGATAAGCAATAATTTGTCAACGCACAGACAACTAGTAGTACTAGTAAAAGATTCTTGCACCTATATGTATATACATATATAGAAGATATTACGGAGACGTTCTGCACATAAGAATTGCCCATTAACAGAATGAACATTTTTTATCCTCTTTTTTTTTTATTCTTGGAAGCTCCTCCATTGTCTCAACTCGTTTCCAAGTGGTTATTAGCCTGGCAAGATATTCGGGCACGATTTCATAAAATGATCGTGTGGTTAAGCCACGAAGAAGCGCACAGTGTTTAACGAGTACTTCTTCGAGCGTCAGATACGAGGATCGTGGCACGTGTCCAAAGTGTTTATGAACGAAGCATTTCTTGGCGACCAACCAAATCAGAGAGGGCAGCCAACACAGGGTGTTAAACAATGGGGAGAGAGAAAAGAAAAGGAAATTACCTTTTTTATCGAGCACATTTGACCAGCTTGCAAGCGACGGATACGAATCGTGTACCATATTCGGTTGTTCAATGAAATTACGTCAATTGTAAAAAATATATATATAAAAAACGGGTTTCTATAAAAATATATATATAGATACGTTTCGAAATTCACTGCCAGTACTTGGAGGATAGTTATGTCTCACTTTATTGCACGTAGGTAAACAGGGACACTATGATACTCGTAGTACTGGCAATGAATTTTGGAACGTACCTTATGGCAGCAGCTCATCCTGCTATCCCTATTGCTGACACTGTTGCTAATTGATGCTCAACAGAGCACAGCCTTGTTTAATTAGCTACTCTCGGATAGTGACTATGTATCTACGCAAGGGTTTGGCCCAAGCGACCCGACGAGGGTTGGGGACACACCCTTCAGGAGTAAACCACTAAATTTTTCACAACCCTTTCCGAAAACGTTAAGGCTATCATTAATACGTTGCCAATGCGCTGTTTCATAATGTCCACAAAGCAGCATTCTTCCTTGTACAGTGATATTGCTAAGGGTAGCTGCTTAGGGTAGTTTTCTGAATTGGACGACTTTTTCCAATGCCTCCTATACGAACTGTCTTAAACCATAAGCTAGTATCGAATAACTTAAACATAGTTTTTCTCAAAGCTAATATACCTCGTATTTATTGATTTTGTCCGGGATAGGTATTTCGTGTGTTCTTGGTAAGAACATAATCTAACACGCAGTACATTATTGGGTCTATAACATATACCATTAACCAAAAGTACTATCTTGTTTTATGGAGAATTGGAACTGTCATGTAGCTTGTCTTCTTTAGCACGTTTAATCAGAATTAAGTACTTTTCTACATTCTCATGATTAACGTCACTCTTACAGCAGTAGACAGGTACTCACGCCGCGGTTATTACATATAAAATCAATTGAGTCGATCGTTTGCCACGTCCTGCGGTTTGCTATACAGCTTAGCTACAGAACAAACACTATAATGTGTGCTTAAATGTCGCTGACTGCAACGCTGTTTCTTAAACGTGATACGCCACGTGCATAAAAGTTCCCTATAGGTAGATATCCATATACATATACGTATAATGTAAAAAGAGAGAGATTGCATCAGGCTATTACAGTTTCTACAGAAATTTTACCTAGTCCTGCACACACAATAAACTTTACATGGGTACGATGTATGTATAACAGTTTGATCTAATTCTGGATCGAAATTTAAACATGAACTTCATGGCCGTTACCTATAATACATGGTTAAAGTAGCTGACTATAAATTTTACTGGTATTTACAGGAAATGCAACGCGTTGCATATTTGGTACGTACTAACATAGTTGATAATAAATTCTAGGAAATTTTGTACAACACGAACGTATGCACACGTGTCCGTATGCAGAGGATTGGAAATTTGCTAGTAGAGGTAACCAAGCCCGTCTTCACTGTGCCGATCTGAATCAGACTCGTTTGATAGATCGTCGAAGTAAGACCAATTTAGCGTGGCAATTAACGTTTGAATTATTATCTTTGCACTCGATCTTGTTTGCATCGTTACGGTGTCTATTTACTTGCTCGTGTTCCTTGCGGTCTGGAATACATGCTGGACTCTATATTGTGGGAATATAGTGTATAAATTCTATGGAATATATATGTATATACGTATAGTATGTAATCCGCATACTGAAATGTGCCTGACTAGTACTGTACCTTACTAATAGTATGGAAGATTGATCTGTTGGCCGAAACCAAAGGTCTCGAGCATCTGCAAGTGTAATTGCATCCCTAGGGCTTCATAAAATAGACTTATCATCCATTTCCGTTTCCTGGCTTATTTTGAATTGAACTTATCAGGATCGGCAGGCACACGCGTGTTACGTATGTTATTCATAGTTATGCCTGTGTTGAATAGGATTCCTTTATTTTTAGTACTTCTGGAATTATTAAAAATATTATAATATATTTTTTTCAATTGTAATAAAAATTGCTAGACTACTTTTGGCATTAGAAAGAAACCTTGACACGCGACAGGTTGTCGTTTCAAGGGTAAGGAAATGTTTTTTGTCCGATGTAAATAATTAAATCGATTCAAAGTGCAATGACCAGACGGTCTCCGAATGTCTGCCGTCAATTCTAGGTCCGGTCATTTCCATTGATTTCTTGAATCAATTACTTAACAGCTACTGCGAAATGTCTTGATAGGACGATAAGGTTACCTCTTCATGTTGAACGGACTGGCCAATTTATCTCGAGTTATAGAGAATCTTATTTCGTAAGAAAAAAAGGATCTGAATGGATACTCAAAGCCAATTCAAAAGAGAATTGCTTTGGTAATTTCAACGATTCTGCTAAACATACATATTATAGATATAAGGCAGAAATACAATTTTGTTAAAATATTTTTTATATTTTACACATATATAGGAGTGCTATTTGAATAAAATGAAATAGTTTGGAGATATAACAGTAAAGAATTCAATGACCATATTTGTTAAAATAAAGTTAAAAAAGTTGTATCTGCCTTTCGTGGGAAGTTTTGAAAGTTTTGTGAATTTCAGATATCCATCGACGTAAGTGCTGTATTTCGTACCGTATGGAGCACATTTAAAAGCCTTAGTTCTACAAGCGCTGCAATATCCTTGACAGAGAAGTTTCGACAGTAGAAATGCGTATCTAGGTATATATCAGCGCGAATTGGATGTCATTATTATAACAACGCTAATTAGCCCCGTAGTGCAACAAAAGTTTTGTATTCCTAGTAGCGATGAAAAGCTTATACGAAAAATTCTGCTGTGAATAATTTATTATGTACATACATACCTCAATTTCCCAAGAGTTCCTAGCGATATGTATACAGCCGGGGTCACGACATCAGTTTAACGTTCAGACGGCTCTTTTATATTGTTGATCCATGAGAAAATGAACCCTCCTAGTTAATCTCACAACCTGATCATATATGTATGGTAAAACTCATGTGTACCTACATATTTATATCCATAGTCACTTCGTAAGAAGTCTTATCCATTTCTCTTCATTTCCCGTATAACTTCAATAGTGCGATCGACATACGTACGTAGGCGGCAAGAATACAAATTTCTGATTTCCCAAAGGACTTTGAGTGTACCCGACAAATCATGTACGACAATGGAAACCAGTCTTGGCAAGATATTGGATAGTTCTGAGACAGCTTTCAAAGGAGTCAACGAAACTGTCACACCGTCTTCCTCGGTCGACCGCAATACGTAAACCGCTTATAGGTTAGACTAAAGACAGGAATCGTGTCAGGAATTTCCAATTCCATCTTTACAACAGTTCAACTGTTATTTAGAGGAAAACGCGATTACACGCGTACTAGTCGATTACACGAATGAAAGTATAAAATAAAACATCATATTTAATATAAATAGAAAGAATTCTAGAAAAATGCCAGAATTTTTCTGAAGTATGAGCTAAACTGTAGTACGTAAATGAGAGTTAGGAGCGCGAGGAACTTGCGAACAGTAGAAAGTGCTGCCACCTGCGCGGAGGGCGTGGCGCTAGCTCTTGGAAAAGCTCAGTCGAAGGAGAGCCTTCATCCCGTGACATACGCAATACTCTGCGTCCTGATCCGCGGCAGGGAAAGAACGAAGGCAAGGAGGAACGAGAGAAGGGATAACGAAACTCGCGAAACGCCGAAAACGATGAATGGACGTGTACGCCACTGTGCCTTACAATGAACACGAGGCTAATTACTGGCTGTAATACGAGACAAATTACACGTTCCGTGACTCTCAAGAATGACTTAATACACAGTCATAGGAATCCTGTGGATAATCGGGATATCATTCTCCAGAAGATAGAATCCGGTATATAGTGGGGACTATGGCGGCCGCTGGATGTAAACAGACATTGAAACACGAAAAGAAAATGACGAATTATTTCCTTACTTAAAACCAAAGTCGAATGATATAAACTGACTGTTACGCGGAGCGGAGTTGTCATTGGTCCAGATTCAGTATATGAAGTGTGACAGTCTGACCATCCAGAAATAGATATAAAACAATAACAATAATAAATACAGAGGACTCGTTGAATAGTATCTGAAGAATGTTGTACATCGAAGTAATCGTGTGATGATCCAAAGGATACTTACAACCCTTTCTTCTTCCCATAAGGATCCCTTACGTGTCTCGTAAAGAGTGGCAAGATCTTCCCGAGTGTCTACAGTCTATGGGATGTTTCTTATATACGACACATCAAGTAAAAGTGGATTCTAAGCGTAAAGTGTTCTCGTGTCCTGCCATGACGTTACTAACACTATCCACAGTATCCTTTTCAAGGGATCGCAGGTCTAGCCGTTGTGTCGCCCCATTAATGTCCTATTCAAGATCATCCACTGTCCTTACAGCAGCTCAATCGAAAGCCTTTTTTTCGAGAACGTGAGACGCGAAAGATGGCTGACTCTCGATATTTTACAACGTACCATTTGCTGCTTTCCCTCCCTTTTCAAACTGTCTCTCTAACCACTCATTTCGTTGGTCCGTTTCAACGATTTAATAACCATTGACAATTACGGCCGCCATCGTCACATAACACAATCTTCATACTAATATATAATACGCGACTGACTGATTAACTCTATTACTAAAAGAAAAATAAAGAGTGGGTTCTCTGATTATGGCTACTCGTCGAAATGTGCGATAAGCTTTCCCTCATCTTTTTCAAAGACGATTTTCTTCCATGTGTTCGACTTCCAACGGAATTATTTGAGAAATTCGATTTTCGGGACTAACGAGTCTGGTAGACGGATGCGTCTATACGGAAAAGGATAGATAAATAAATAAGACGATAGCAGACTGTGACACTGAGTGGAAATATCGTGGGGGAGAACATAAAAAGGAGGAAGAGTACAAGAATCTAAAGCCTAAAGAAGGTTTAGATACGAAATAGGGGAGAAAAAAGAAATAGGGATGGGATCTCGTGTAAATATTGCCAAGGGTTGTAAACACACGCAACGATATAATAACAATACGTGTGTCTCATAGTATATATACCTTATAATGTAACGAACGCTTCGCCGAATCGAAATAAATATATCGACGATTATCGTATACGTATAATAACTTACGTATCCACGCACGCGCTTACGTTTTGTAAATACACGTATCTTCGAGGTGTAACTAATATAATTGGTTATAAAGAAAGTCAATTGCAATGGTGTTGCAAGAAGTGTTATTTTTACGCGTGTTGCATCCTTTTCCCGTAAGGATCGCATCGATACTACTCGTGTACAACAATCGAAGACTGACAATGAGGCGTGCAATTCAGCATTTCCAACGACATATTGCTTATCCACCATAAGGTAATTGTTATCTGTTTTTCTTTATTTTAGTTTTTACGTTCCGGCAACTTATTTATTTATTTTTATGTAGCTACGTTGTTAGTGTGTAGAGGAGGATGTATGGTATTGCGACAGGATATTTGCATTTCCATTATTTATTAGTACATTTAGTTCCATTAGGATTTACTTGCTATATGTATATTGGCTTTCCATTTATTCCCTTATAAGAAGACGAATTGCCGATGCGTTTCCGGTTGAATTCTATTGCCAGTCCGACGGTCTCCTATTGGAAACTCATATTGAGAGAACGTAATACCTATTCGCTTAGTGAGCCGTATTATTTCACATTGAGACATATATATACATGTATTTATACCTATATATATATCCTTATGCTGAGATAAACCGGATGTGGATTATGAGCCGTATTCTACAGCCTTCTAATCGAATACACAATAGGCATTCTAGATATCAATATATTTTTTATTCCACACGAATATTTTTTTCAGATAAATTGAATCGTGACTATGTATGGATACATAGAATCGATTTGAAATTTTCCAAATTTTATTTGCATCATTATTACTTGACGATGGCTGGAAAAGATTATGTAATACAACCACGATATAGAGATATATGTATACAAAATACTTACTACGCAGTTCAAAGTTATATACTATGCGTATATTTATTATATGTACAGGTACTTTCCTATAGTAAGTACACGTACATACATTGCTATAATATATCTTGTAGCTGTGTCACGTGTACTATACATTGCATACTTGAACGATACTTACAGTGTTATTACTAAAGTGCGTTGACTATAGCATAGTACACGAAAAAAGTATTGACTATATCTAACTATATAAATACTTCCAATTAATCGTAACGCAACGTAACGTGTTGTAAAAGTTGTCTGACAAGCAATTTCACTCTCAATTGCCGTATAATCTCTAATCGCCATCTTGAAATTAGTCGTAGATCCAAATCGTGAAAACGTAACTCTTCGAAGTCCCACTTAAATATTGTTATCGTAGCGAGAAATCGTGTTCACGGTTTCAACTTGTATTACGGAAACACAAAATGCATTCACGTACTGGTAATTATTGATAATTAATTGTAACGTGCGTTCTTGCTAAAATACTTTTTTACCTGTTGCGCGAGGTCGCGACAGGCTTCTCATGCGAAAAGTTTTACCACTGACTATACAAGCAGAGGTTGCCTTGTGAGCCGATCAAAAATGTTGAAATTAAGATATCTTTTGTGAAGTTCATATTTCTATCGATTAGCTTTAGAAAATCTTATACGCTCGAATTTAAAAGATGAATCATGCTCGGTACACACACATTCGCGCATAAACGAGGAATTAACGGCCTACGTGATTGTGTTGGGGGTTTTCGTTAAATCGATAACTAATTAAAAATTGATCGGATGATCGGGCATGTAAAACGATTTAATATGTCGAAGCATTGTAATTATGCTTGATGGGGTATTAGTGGGAAGATATTTTTAGTCCAGTCGAATTAGATCGAAAAAGACATTGAAATAGAAAAAAAATAATAGTATTATTTTTCCTTCGCGAATCGTTGGTAGGAGGGGGGGGGGGTCACTGGCAGTCTAAATCCTGATTTTCGGGAAGCGAACCCCTGTGCTTCAACCGCCATCTTGAATTTAAGGGTGAATTTTTATTTATTAAATAACTCGTTTATTTCCAATTTTACATAGAAAATGGTAATAATCAAAGTTGTTGGGAATTAAATTTGCTACAATTTTGGTCCTTATCATTTTTTCCTTAGGATCGATATTTATCGATTTAGACCCAAAAGGGGAGAGTGAAATGTAATTATTGCATTATCTCGTTTGTTATTCATAAACGATAATAAACACATTTGTTTGAAATTAAATTTGCTCGAACTTTGATCCTTATCGTTGTTTTCCTTAGGATCGATATTTCTCAATTTAGACTTGAAGGGGGGGATTTGATTATTGAATTATCTCGTTTGTTATTGATATTTACGTATAAACGATGATAAACAAACTTGTTGGGAATTAAATTTGCTAGAACTTTTGTAGTTACCTTTTTTTTTCGTATGATCGATGTTTTTGGACACATTTACCATAGGCGTACGCCTCAATAATGTATCCTAAGAGAATATAGATAAGAGCCAAATATCTGGGGAACTTTTTCCTATGAATTTCAAAAATATCGATCCTAGGAAAAGAACGATAAGGACCAAAGTTATTAACGTAAACGAGTTATTTACTAAATAAAAATTCACCCGTAAATTCAAGATGGCGGTTGAAGCACAGGGGTTGGATTCCCGAAAATCAGGATTTAGACTGCCAGTGACCCCCCTCCCCAAAGATTCGCGAAAGAAAAATGCTATTACTTTTTTCTATTTAAAATGACAATTCGACTGGGCTATTTTGTTGAACAGAAATATTGAACAGAATTGCTAGATGTACATGTATGTATGTATGTATCATATACATATTTGATTGGTCTATATATACATATATAAAAAGATAAAAAATATAATATTTTCATTGTAAAGTTAGGTTAGGTCTTAGGTTCGGGTCGAAATATATTAAGTGTATCTGTTATGAAATTTTTCAATTTATTTCGCAACAAAACTTTTTGCGAAAAACATATCGGATAAGGACATCGCGCAATATTTTTCGCTCGTTTTCCTTTTAAATATTCATCATTACGGCGTGGCTTCAATTTCTCCTGCTTTTAGTCTTCCACGCTATTCCTGGTTATTCTTTTCAGTGGTATATAAGAGTCGAGCGTCCGGACGCCTCTTTTGGGTACCTGGGTTCTTATTTATACGTGGACGCTGCATCGGAACGTTTGCAGCGCATGAAACATTGAATAGCGGGCATTTGCTTTTCAGGTTTTCCTTCTCTGTGCCATTTTTCTTTTTTTCGAGACCCTCCATATATGCGTATATACGCCCGCTTTACACGGTACATGAAATACTTACTTATCGACGTCATAAAAAAATGCAGTATAGTTAAGTCTTTGTTCTTGGTGGAATTTGACACTTGGTGGTTTTTATTCGATATGATAAAATCTGCATGCATCAGAATACAGTATTTGTATGTTTTTTGTGTATGTATATATATACATATATCTATATTTATGTGGTTCGGTTCTCTATCGCTCAAGGCACTACTTGGGATTTTCACGCGATACGCATCGCGTGACGAATAGAAACGTTGGGTCTCCGCTTTTCGATAACGAGACACTAGAATTACGTATGTGTTGTTGCAAATTCACTTTATTCTTTGTGGCTGGTAATTCGATTAGCACTAATTGTACAAAGTGTTTCGGAAATTCTATGTGCCCACATACATATGTGAGAAGAGTATTTTCGGTACACTGGAACAGCTACTACTGTGTAGTATCGTGGTAAGGTTTTTTTTTGCCGCGTGACATTTTTTAGAGTAATCACTGTGATGAATGGAAAAAAAAGGAATAATTTTTTGTTTTAAATGTCTAGGATATTTTTTTTATTTCCCCCTCTATGTACTTTGAAGAAGAAAGCGAGCGGCTGATGGCTTTACTCTTCGCCGGGAGCCAAAAACATACATTTAACACACATGCCTTAGTCCTTGGTAACAGCACACAGTGATAGGCGAATTGTCGTATCTTTTTGTGGTGAAGAAAATAAAAATAAAATTATGGAACTGGTGAAAAATTTGGGGGATTTATTCTTTTTTTTTTCATTGTTCCTTTGAAAAGAGCCCGTCAGTCGAATCTTTCACAGGGTTATTCGGTGACTGCTTTGAAATCCTTCAATGATCGACGATATACCTTTTTAATTGTTTTTCATGTTTTTAGGGGAGAATTTTCAGAGTTTGATAGCAGTTCTTTTTTTTTTTTTACATAACTCGTTTTCAGGTATCGTCCATTCAAACAAACTTCGGAGGGATAAGGTACTGCAATATGTTGACTGAAGAATCTTGACAGGTCATCGATTTTACATTTTAAATCGCTTCGACGAATGGGAATACGTCATTCATAAGGGTTTAAGAAATATAGTGATCTTCAAAAAAGAAAATCGTGGTGAATCCACAAGTGGGCGAATACAATATGATTGTAATAATTGAATAAAAATGTCAATATCGCCTTACGAGGAAACTTTTATATAATTTAAACGGTCACAAAGAATCCAAAACATAAGTAAAAAAAATATATATTATAAGAAAAAAATTGAAATTTCAAAAAGATTGAACAAATTTTCAATATAACGATCAAACGAAAAATTTCACGGAATTCCAATTTCATTTGAATTTTTCATCTTCCATATGCTATGACAGCGAAAGCCAAAGGAATACATAAAATCGTGTACATCTAAAAAGAGTCTAACAAAGCCATCTAGCAGAAAAGAGGCTGATGTTATGGCTGAAAGTCAATACTAAAATTTTAATGAATATGGATTCGTACATAGATTCATATTTTTCTAAAAAACTGGCAGATTCGTCCCTCAAGCAAGAGGGTAGGTAACACAATGCAGACCGCGTGGTCCCAAGTTGGGGTATATCTAGTTGAGGGTCGATAGCCTTGTTCGTACAGCGCGAGCGCCATCCTTACTCACTACACCCCCATACCTCCCCATATACCAAAGACCCATGAGGGTTGCAATCCAAACCCCCATAGGAGGTACAGTAGCTGAAATGCGGATTGGCATACAGCCCTTAGAAAGACCATTTGAAAAGATCCCCTTAATCTTCTTATTTTTATCTTCCGTGACTACTCAAACAGCTGTAGCTCAATTTACATAATCACTTATTTCTTATAAAAAGCTCAAAACTAGGTTACCGTATGTTTGAAAAAGGAACGTGAAGATATTGGCGAATATTCGAGTCACCAGAAATGCTAGTCAGTCGAGAAATAGAGTAAGGAGCGTTTGCGGATTTAGAAAAGCTTCTTTATACATTTTCTCATATTGACACTTGACAGGCTCAAGGTGATTTTTCATTAAAATAGGATTTCTCAAACATACTACATC